TTCTTATGACTTCCTAAAGAGAGTAAAGTTGGATTGGGTTAAACTCAGCCCTGACCTGCAACCATTTTAAATCCTGTTATAGAAGGGATGGATTAAAACCATGCTAAATTTGTACGTGATTTGATCAGGAACCAAAGGTGCTTTGTAAGTCCAGATATGGGGCTTGAACCCACAATCTTCTGACTTACAGAGGCGAGAGCACTACCACCTCACCAGGATTGACAGCCTGCTTGGTACATCAAAGGGACTTAAAGAGGTAGACATGTCACTAGTCACTAGCCTGGGTTCCTCCCACCCGGCTTCCTGATAAACTGGCAGGACGACTGAGTTACTGAGCAGTCATGAATCAGAATCCAGAAAATAGAGAAAGTTCAAGGGGTCAAATGGTCAGAGGAACAATGGGATCATTTAAACTTTATTAAATTAAATCGCTGCCTGAAGATAATAATAATAATAATAATCCTTGCATTTGATATAGCGCTTTTCACGTCGGGAGGACGTCCCAAAGCGCTTCACAGAATAGACTTGTCAGCTTGGCTCAGTGGATCAAAAATATGTGTTTTCCAGAAGAAAGAGAATTTCTCTTGGTGTCCATTCTGACAACCCTACAGATTAACTGGTCATTTACTTCATGGATACCAGCACAAGTAACTACAATAAAAACATATTACTCTTGTATAGTGCTCTTCACATCAGAAAGACGTCCCGGGGTGCTGGACAGTCAGGGTTTTTGGACCTGAGCTGGGAGTTGGGGTCCGGAGGGATGGAGGGTAAGGGGTGGTAAGTGGCCAAAGGCATATAATAATAATAATAATAATCCTTGCATTTGATATAGCGCTTTTCACGTCGGGAGGACGTCCAAAAGCACTTCACAGAACACACTGTAAGGTGAATTGACTGTATATTTGTGGGCGAACGCGGCAGCCAATTGCGCACAGCAATGTCCCACAAACAGTCGTAGATTGAAAATGACCAATTTATTATTGTTTTTGGTTTTGGAGGGATTATTATTAGGCTCTGTGTGGAGTAAGGAAACTTGCCCAAGGTTTCGCCCTCTGCCTGGAATTGAACTCAGGTCTCTCGCTTGCAAAGTGAGTGCTCTAACCACTGAGCTACAGGACTCCATGGCATGGTCGAAGAGGAAGGACTTGAAGGAGGCAAGAGAGGGGTGAGGCAGAGGGATTGCGAGATGGAGTTCCAGATTGTGGGGGCAGAGAAACTACCACATTTGTCAATAGAAACAATAAAATTTATATTGATTCAGCACCTGTCACGTTGGGAGCAAGTCTGAAAGCACTTCCCATTGTTAGGTGGGCACCGAAGCTGGGTGTCAGACCAAGTTGGAGGGACTCTGGGATAGCCTTCCATTCCACTTGACCGCATTGGGTAATGTTGTGAGATAGCCACCAGGGGGCTCAACAACAACAACAACATTACATTTGTATAGTGCCTTTCACGTCAGGAGGATGGCCCCAGGCGCTGGACAGTGTACAGCATTTCAGACCTTAGCTGGGGTCAGGGGGGAGAGGGGAGGGGAAGGGGGCTGATCAATGGCATGGTCGAAGAGGAGGGTTTTGAGGTGGGACTTGAAGGAGGTTAAGGAGGGGGCGAGGCAGAGTGATTGGGGGATGAAGTTCCAGAGGTTGGAAGCAGAGTGGCTGAAGGCTCTCCCGCCAATGGTGGGGTGGGTGGGTTGGGGGACGTGGAGCAGGCTGAGCGGAGAGAGCGGGTGGGTTGGTAGGGGGTTAGGAGGTCACAGAGATCCTGCATCACTTTAACACTGCAAGATTGAGGTGACACCAGCATGTGGAAGTGACTGGCCACTGCTTGGTGTGACTGAGCAGATAGCTCCTGCTGCACCTCAACTGACCATGAACTCAGTGTTATCGGGGAAGTAGTTAAAATTATTATCCACCACATTGGTGTTATAGTGAGAAACAATGGTGTTATTTTGGTTTTCAAATACACACGGTCACTTAGATGTATTTTTTCTGGTTCGGAGTAATCTTAGTAAGTGTGAACTTTACAATGAAAAGGTGAACACTTTGAACACTATGAGCACTTCCACTTCCTTTCATGGTTTCTTAAAAGAGCTGTGCAAAAATGGTTTCAAAATGAACACTCATTTAAAGATTCAGCCAAAATTTCCCACTGCTAAATTTGGAGTGCTCTGGAATGCTACCCTTCATAAGGGGCGCTATATCAATTCAAGTAGTTGTAGTTGTTGTTGAAGACAATGGCCTTAAGGCTAAGAATATGCAACACCACATGCCCCAGTTTACCTTGTGTAGGAAATGGAAATACATGGTTTACAAGGTACTTGATGTAAACTTCAGGAGTACAGTACTGTTGCGGAAGCTTTACTGTAAATCAAACCTGCTTTATACCTTGGCTCGGAGCACTTGATACTGAGAAAAATTGCAAATGAATCACAAATTTCATTTCTTCATCATACAGATGCCTCATATTAACCCAAATATATGCATCAAAATACTTATTAAAACTAAGTGGAGGTGTGAGCTTGGCTCAGTTGGTACTCTCACCTCTGAATCGGAAGGCTGTGGGTTCAAACCTCATATTGAGACTCATATATAGTCTAGGCTGACACTCCAGTGAAATGCTGGGCGAGCCCTGCATTTTTGGAGGTGCTATCCTTTGGATTAGATGTCAAAACTGAGGTCCCTTCTGTTCTTGTTCAGATGGAAATCAAAGATCTCATGGCGCTATTTGAAGACATAAGTTTATCCCTGTGTTCTAGTCAATAGGCTGCCAGATAAAAATGGTCATTTACTTCATGACTGTTTGAGACATTGCTGTGTGTAAATTGGCTGCCGTGTAGTCCTGTAGCTCAGTGGTTAGAGCACTCGCTTTGCAAGTGAGAGACCTGAGTTCAATTCCAGGCAGGGGGCGAAACCTTGGGCAAGTTTCCTTACTCCACACAGAGCCTAATAATAATCCCTCCAAAAAAACAAAACAATAATAAATTGGTCATTTTCAATCCATATGACTGTTTGTGGGACATTACTGTGCGCAATTGGCTGCAGCGTTCGCCCACAAATATACAGTCAATTCACTTTACAGTGTGTTCTGTGAAGCGCTTTGGGACGTCCTCCCGACGTGTAAAGCGCTATATCAAATGCAAGGATTATTATTATTATGTTTGTCTACAAGTACAGTCATTACACTCAAAGCAGTTTGAGATGACCTCCCGAAAGACTCAGTCAAAGTTAAGAATTATTATTTATTATTATGTGGTCAGTGTGCCATGGGCTAACAAGAAAGATGTGAAAGTGGAGCTCAATCTGCAAACCAAATAAATAACCAGTCACAACCATATTTTGAATAAAAGAAATTGAATTCAAGCTTTCTGCTCAATGATTCTGTTTAACAGAAAATGCTATTTCTGCAAAGTAATTAGTAAGCCAATTATATCAGTACTTTACAGATCAAACAGCATGTCAGTAACAGAGAGCATACTAGTGTAATTCAATAGTAAAGTGGATTAGAGTGTTCTTTGTTTCACAAAGGAGTTTCTTTGCTAAAAGCGCTGAGTTTTTCACTCAAGCTTTCAGACACCTTTGTGCCCGCTCTCTAGAACTCTCTTGTGAAATCGTTCCTTCTCTTGCTTTAGAAAACAAGTATAGAGCTTCTGTGTTTGACTGCATTATCAGTCACCTCCGCACACCCGCCACCCACCCAACCACCATCTCCCACCCAGCTACTGCTCTAATAAACACTTTGAGGCATTGACCTACGTGAAGCAACATAACTGCACATTTTGCTGCACAGTATGGTTAGGATGTCGATTCAATGGTACAATTACGCATGTGCATTACAGGATTCCACTCAGGAAAAGGCTAGCTCATGCAAGTGAAACACTCACAAAACCAAGTCCAAATGATTTATTGTTCTTTTAAGCTAATGTCACATTAGCTCACTGATTTATTTTCAAGTTTATTCAAAATACTCAAAATCAAATAATAAATAGATTAAAAGCACGTACTGTTCAGAGCTCAGGAGTCTGATATTCCTTGTGGTTTTTGCCATTCTCTTCACATTTAAGACTGATGAATTTGGAAATTTCTTAAATTCTATCTTAATTTGGAAGCCAGTATTTATTAGTTCTAAAGAAATCTTCTCACCCAGCTCCTGACAAACCAGCAAATCAAAAAACTTAATGAGCAGGATCTTTGTTTGACAAGCACAAGCAGCGAGAAGCTTGTTGTATAGGAATGACAAGCTGCATAGTTTCAGCCACGTATGCAGTTTGCCGTTCAGTTAGGATCACCCTAAGCAAAAGCTGGTGTCCTCCAGAACCCCCAGGTACCGATAAGTATTAAGAATCAACAATTGGGACTTCCAATCGATACCTTCAATGTCACCTCTTGAGCCGAACGTAACCATGATTCTGCATTTGGAGGTTCCCACCATCATGTCCCACCGGGTAGCCCAGTGTGAAGATGGTGGGTGCAACGCAAGAGGTTCCCCAGGTTAGGCTGTCAGCAGCACAATATTGTCTACAAACAGAGGTGCTGCAATCCTGTCAGAGCAGCATAGAACAGAAACACCAAGGCCCTTCCCCTCGATGCATTCTAACACATAATTGACGAACATGTTGAATAGGGTGGGTGACAATGGGTGGACTTGCCTTACTCCCACCCCCATCAAGAAGGATGGGCTTATACCTTAGTCACCCGACCAAACCAGAAACTCATTCATAATGTTCTAACAGCTAACACCAGTTTTGCTTTTATGAAGGGATTTAAAACATAAAATAATGTAAACAGAACTGGTATTATACATACACCATTTGCCCTTTCTTTCACTAACCAATCTTATCAGACGCATTGGCATTCATTCAAGGCTAATACAGCTTCACGACTGAATCAGACAATTTCCATGAAGACCATCTGTAGCCTTTGAGCAGTTTTTGGATCATTATCCACTGAATTCCTTTTGGCACCAGTTGTGTAAAAGCAGCAAACGGTCAGTCTCTTCCATGCGTGTTAAGCAGATTTTATTAAGTAAATATTCTTCTTCATCCAGAAGACAGGAAGTCCCTTGACATCTTGGTATGGGGTCTCCAACAAGCTCTGGGTAGCTTCTATTCTCCATGGTGCATTTATATCACCAGGTATATTAGATGGCTCAGGAGAGTGGGGGAACTGTGATGAAGGGGTTGATATTAATTCAGGCAAAAGTGGAGGTGCTGGAAGCCCTGTTATTGAATCTGAGAGAGAGTTGGGAAGCTGAAGTGATGAAGATAGGGGATGTGACTGGGATGGTGAAAAGGTAGGTGTCAGGGGAAGACAGTATAAATTGGGAGAAAGAGCAGGTCTGTGTAACTGTGAAGAGAAAATGTGGGAAGGTGGTGGGGGAGGGGGAGGTGGCAGAGGGCATTTCCATAATTGGGAAGAGGCTGTGAAACAAAGATTTGAAGCCTGAATCTGATTGTGCAATTGGGAAGAACGTGACCCAGGAGATGAGAATGGAAACACCATTGATCCATGTGACTGGGATGGTGGTGAGGGAAGGCAGGAGGATGATGGATGGTTAAGTCCATTTTCCGGGGATAATGAGAAAAGTGAACGAGGCAGTGATGGTGAAAGGGACGATGGTGGAAGAAGTGGTGGTCGTGAAGGAAAACTAAGAGATTGTGAAAGAGATGGAGTAGGTAGTGGAGGCAATGTGGTCCATCCATGTAACGTGGAAGATGAGGGGTTAGAAGGGTTGCAGTGTGTGGTAGAACAAGAGCATACAAGCCCAGAACAATCAATCACTCTTCCTATTGATTTTGAAGGACTGGAACTAATAGTATTTGGCTGAGTAGATGTTAGAGACAGTCTTTCAAGCATTTCCATGGACACAAATGTGGTCATAGATCCTGCATTCTGCACTGGTTTACACAGTGTGTACCCTAAGTGAAAGTAGAAATATTGCTTATCGTGAGTAGTAAGATACAGAGTCTTGAACCCACGGAACTTGGCATACGCCTCTGTGGATTCCATTAACTTTCTACCATAACCTTTGCCCCGGTACTCCTTCGCAACAACCACTGTCTCCACAAATAGACCACTGGCTTGGCCAACTACACGGGAGAGCTTGCTGTGACCCACCAACTGACTTTTGGTTTTACTCCCGGTGCCGTCCGCTATCTTCAGAGGCCTAAGCAAGACAAGGCAAACTGGGAAATTGTTTGAGGATTTCTGGAGAGAGTGAATCCGAGATGCTTTACTCCTCTTCCACTCTTCATTGATGAGATCAGCACAGGTCTCCATCAGCTCGGGGCAAAGATGCAAGGGAACTATCCTCAGCTCTTCAGAAAAGGTCTTCTCACACTAGCAGCAATAAAACGTCAGAATTTAATGAACAGTGCTCATCACAGGCTCAGAAAAAGTATGTCTGCTTCAGGAGAAAGACAGATCATTTAACAACGAACAACCCAACTACATATTGTTCCACTTTTCATTAATCATATAGGCCCTGATACATCTGCCATATAACACTCTTCTATTCAACAAATAATAAATAATAATAATCCTTGCATTTGATATAATGCTTTTCACGTCTTCTAGACGTCTGAAAGCGCTTCACAGAATATACTGTAAAGTGAATTGACTGCATATATTGTGGACGAAACGCGGCAACCAATTGCGCACAGCAGTGTCCCACAAACAGTCGTGGATTGAAGTGACCAATTTATTATTGTTTTTTTTGAGGGATTATTATCAGGCGTGTGATGTAAGAAAACTTGCCCAAGGTTTCACCCTGCCGGGAATCAAACCCAGGTTTTTCGCTTGCAAAGCTGTACGATTCTATGATACTATGAGTGCTCTAACCACTGAGCTACAGGACTCCACTACAGGACTCCACAAAGGTTGAATCCTAATTCTCGCCAGGCTCCCTGTCTCTCAATGAACAAATTCAAGGTTCTCACCCTCAAGTATAAATCCCTTCATAGCCTCGTACCTCCCCATCTCTCTGATCTTTTCAAACCATTCCTCTGCTTGCCCCTCTGTTCAGCTAACACAGGTCTGCTATATTCACAGATCTCCCCCACGGTGGTCAAGTGTTCAGTCACTACGTTCCCAATGTCCAGAATTTCCTGCCTCTACTCTTCTGCCTTGCGCTCTCTCGGTCTTAAAATCTCACCTTAAAGCCTACCTGTTCAACCATACCTATGGTTATCTTCCCCTCCCCCTTGCTAGGCGAACTGCCATTGTGCAGTAATTGGACACATTTTTCTATGTAAAGGGCAGAATATAATTGCAACTTGTTGCTGAAAGTAATATAAACTGCTCCAAAATGTGCCAAGTGTGCAGTAGGATAATGGCCAACTGACTAGATTTGCTCTATTAAGTTACACCTTGGGTCTACTTTTAAATTCCCTTGTAATATATGAAACTGATGTATAGGAAGCTTTGGTGCATCAAATTGTTGTGTCATTTTATTATGTGATCACCCTCCGTTCTTTCAAAAAGTTTAATATCTTTGATTAGTTTCCTGCAACTGGTAGCCGATTGCTCAGGATTACACTCGGTATCTGGAAAGTGCTTGAAGACGTCTAGCCTATGTGAAAGGGCTCCATAAGTGCAAGTTGTTGTCACAGGTCTCTGGGTGGTCAGTTTGAGAGACACTGATTACTTTACATAAAGCATAATAGTCTGTGATTTTGCAGTGTTGTATTGACAAACACACAGTTGCTCCCGTCCCAATAAGGTTTGTAAAGTCAGTCAGTCACACAACACGGCACACACACACAAACACAGTGTAACACCTGAAACTGTCTTTCATTTCCGTACCGTGTTGTGTGACTGACTGGCTTTACAAACCTCACTGGGATGGGAGCAACCGTAAACCGACCTCATGTCAATCGAGGACAACCCTCACTGACTGTCCCCTCCCCCATTCACAAAACACCGTGTTACACCGTCAACCAACTGTTCCAGACATCTGTGCAAATTTGCACTGTAAGACTGACACCACCCGCTACATACACTAACAATACCCTTCCAGAACCACCAACCGTCCCATGGAGTCCTGTAGCTCAGTGGTTAGAGCACTCGCTTTGCAAGCGAGAGACCTGAGTTTATTTCCAGGCAGGTCAGGGCGAAACCTTGGGCAAGTTTCCTTACTCCACACGCCTAATAATAATCCCTCCAAATCCAAAAACAATAATAAATTGGTCATTTTCAATCTACGACTGTTTGTGGGACATTGCTGTGCACAATTGGCTGCCGCGTTCGCCCACAAATATACAGTCAATTCACTTTACAGTGTGTTCTGTGAAGCGCTTTGGGACGTCCTCCTGACGTGAAAAGCGCTATATCAAATGCAAGGATTATTATTATTATTATTATTAATACATGTCCACACAACGCAGCGGACTGACCTGCCACTAAAGTGAACATCTGCTGCTGTGTACAGACAGCCAGATGTGCAGGCACAAGCTTACTCACAGTGCTACAGAGTAAAAGATAAAATAAAAACTGGGTGCTTTGCAGACAATAATATTGATCAACTCCATTGAAAACACACATTATGTAATGTACAACATGGATAAGGATGAAAGGCTGAAGAGGCTGATTACAGACTATTGGAATGAAATTCCGTATTATGTGTAGTGATGTTGTCAGCTGTTAAAGGATTTCACATTTATAACTGCGATCACCAAAGGAGCTCTGCATACCTTAAAATGTCAGTCCTTGTGGTACTTCACAGGAGACCATTAAGACTGCTGATTATGTCAGCCTGGCTCAGTGGTGGAACTCTTGCTTTTGAGTCAGAAGGGTGTGGGTTTAAGCCCTATGTTGGAACGTTTCACTCACAGTCTAAGATGACACTCCAATGCAGTGTTGGGGGTGTGTTGCATTGTCAGAAGTGCCATCCTTCAGATGAGGCGTTAAACTGAGGCCCAGTTTGCCTGTTCAGGTGGACGCTAAAGATCCCGTGGCACTATTCGAAAGAGAAGTGAGTTTCTCCTGGTGTCCTAGCCAGCAATCCCCAGATAAAACTGGTTATTCGCTTCATGGCTGGTTTACAGACATTGCTGTGTGTGAATTGATTGCTTAAACAGTCACTACACTTTACAGTATATCCTTTGAAGCGCTGTGAAACATCCTCCCAACATGTAAGGCGCTGTACAGCTCGGTAGCTCAGTGGTTGGAGCACTCGCATGACAAGCGAGAGACTTGGGTTTGATTCCCGGCAGGGCGAAACCTCGGGCAAGTTTTCTTACCCCGCACGCCTGATAATAATCTCTCAAGAAAAGAAAACAATAAAAATTGGTCACATCAATCTACAACTGTTTGTGGGACACTGCTGTGCGCAATTGGCTGCCACGTTTTCGCTCACAAATATACAGTCAATTCACTTTCCAGTATATTCTGTGAAGTGCTTTGAGACGTCTAGAAGACATGAAAAACTCTACATGAAATGCAAGGATTATTATTATTACCTAATGTAAAGATTATTATTGGTATTCTGGTACTGACTGTTTCTTTCACACAGAAGGAAAATGTGGCATTTCGAAGGCTCTGAGAAAGCTGCTCTGCTCTTGGCTGACGTGATTGTTAACAATCCCATGGCACTATTCGAAGAGAACGGAATATCTACCAGAGTACTGGCCAACAATCCCCCAAATAAACAATGGTTATTCACATTGTGGCTGTTTGTGTACAAATTAGCTGCTGCATTCACCTACAAAATAGAAGTGTAAAGTGCTTTGAGACGTCCTCCCAATTTGAAAGGCGCAATAGCAAATGTAAGGATTATTATCATCATCATCATGCTCTGGTCTGCCTTTTTCCTTCAAACCTCCCAACAAAACCAATTTTACACATCATCAAATGTTTAATTAAAAAATACAAGAAACCTTACCTAAAAATGTGAATCTAAGAGTTTCAACCACTCACCCAGTCTTGAAATTCAAACGGAGCCCAGAATTCAGCAACAAAGCTGCAAAGTGTATGGTAAGCACCTCACACCACAGGCAAGAGGAAGTGAGAACTCTGGTGTAACTGTCAGGCTCGACACAGCCCTGTGCTCTCCCTCCTCCCTGCACTCTCCTTCCCCTCCTCCCCCCTTTCACCACTCTCTTTCAGTAATTCATTCTGGTTTTTGACATTGTTATACTTTAGATAATAATAAATAATAATATAGCTGATGTCCTTATCATGTCTTCCCAGCACCTTGGGACATCTTCCTGATGTGAAAGGCGCTATACAAATATAATTTTTCTTACGGCTCAAAGCGCTTCACAGATTATACTGTGAAGCAAATTGACTATATTTTGTGGGCGAAACGCGGCAGCCAATTGCACACAGCAGTGTCCCACAATCAGTCGTGGATTGAATAACCAAATTATTATATATATTTTTTTTGAAGGGATTATTACCCCCAGAAAGGCGATCCGCCAGTCGTCTAATAACAAAGTTCCTACTTACTGCTAGATAAACAGAGACATGTGGAGTAAGAAAACTTGCCCACCATTTCACCCTGCCTGGGAATCAAACCCAGATTCTGAAATGCACTTCATTGGGACCAAAAGCAATAAGTTCCCTGGGTCTTAATATTTGTAAAATTATACTGATAATCCTTACATTTGTATAGCACTTTTCACATCAGGAGGATATCTCAAAGAGCGGAATGACAGTGTATTCTGTTGGCCACAATATGTATTATTGAAAGAAACAGAAATCACTCACTTTAAAGGCTCTGCATCAAAATCCTTTAAAAAGCAAACAATCAGGACTTTGTTTCTCTTTTTCATTCCCTTTTCTACCTGCTGCGATGCGGCTCATCAAAGTGATTTGTGCTCGAGGTCTGGCAGTGAGCAATAGCAGCGTGGAAACCCAATCTCGAATACACACATATGCACACACACACACACAGTCCAGTAGGGGGTGCAGATAGTGATCGGGAGCAGGGAAGCTGGTTACATGTCCTGACCAAGGGGCGCTGAGGGCAACTGGCATCCTGATTACTGCCCCAGCTGAGGTCACACGCAAGTTTGAACCTGTGTCTGACCTCCAAGATATGCAACCTTGTTTGAATCAGCAATCTTCAGTATGAATGGCTCTTCAATTATATTTTAAAATACTTTAGTTCTGTTATTTATAGAGCTGATGATACAAGGATTTCTCGATCTGAAGACATACGTGTGATGGATTAGGAAATCATAGAAATGTAACAATAATCCTTATATTTGATACAGCGACTTATCACATCGTCAAGACGTCGCAAAGCGCTTCCCCGGATATACTGTAGAAAGTGGAGTGACTATGCTTTGTGGCTGAAATGTACAGCATAGGTCACTCACACCGCTGTGCCCAGGCTGTGAAGAGCTATCCGTTTATTTTCACTTCCTTGCTCTTTTCCCGCAGCCTTTCTACCCCACCCTCTGGAACTCCATCCCAGAGCTCCGCCGCCTCTCTCTTTCTTGCCTCATTCAAGGCCCTTCTCAAGACCTGCCTCTGTGACCGTGACTTCGGACACCCTCTCATCCCTCTTGATTCCAACCCCAGCTCGGGTGCAAATCCTTGTAGTGTTTCAATCAATGTAGGGTTTTACTTCTGGATTTGGCTTGTGCCAAAATGCTACCAGTGTAGATTTGCTATCTGTGACAACAATCACAAAGATCAATTAACTGATAATATTAATACAGATTTATTGAGATTTTTTTCTTTTGGTCAGCTGGGTGTCTCACGCAGAAAACTTTCACCATGCTTAAGAGTATCCAAAGCAGACACAGTTCTGCATATGTAAGCTTCCTTCACATGGGAATTTCCCTGCACCTCGAATGGAATGTGCATTCTCTCCCTGAAGGATTTGCACTGTGCCTACCTAACTCCGAGGACAACTTTGTCACGCTAGGACTTAGGAACTCCCTATTAGTGCGTTTTTTAGCTTGCAGGGTTATTGAGAAATAATCTACGGGGCTAGAGCAGGAAATTGTGCTATCTGCCTTTTCAGTTGAAGAGTGAGTGTTACGATTTCCTTCTTAAACAGTTCCCGAGACCATCTTAAACTTCTACATCCTCCTGTTTATTTCTGTCGTACTGTTGGCACTTTGAAAATGGGACATTGATGAGAGGCCTGGGTTCTGCTCAATGATAGACACCACGAGGGTGTGAATTTCCAGCGCAGTAATGCCCAAAATTCCACTCAGTGTTGACTTGGTAAAAGCCCTTATGTCATGAAAGTTAAAATGGCACAGAATTGTGAAGGATCCCTAACGTCGGTCTTAAATTGTAAGATAGATATTTTGAATAACTGCAGACTACGAGCATCAAATTAAGACTTAATGTACAGTAAACCCCTAGTAACTCTACCCTGGCTTAACTTAAGTAAGTCACCATGCTGTCAATATCCCGACCATGCTTATTTATGAATTTATACATGTGCCTAACTCACTACTCCTGATAACTCATCATTTAAGAACCCTTTTCCCTTTGGAGTAATGAGTTATCAGGAATTTACTGTAAGAATTTTCCACAATTTAGTTCACCCTTGTATTTTAAGATAAACCGGTCTTACAGGTTAAAACTGGGTGGAATTCTGAGCTTTTAGACATGTTTGCATTTAGAAATGTAGAGTTGGTTATATTACCTCAATCGTTTCTGTACTGGGCTCTGTGCAGTCTCCATCAGCCTGGGCAGGCTGGGCAGGCCTGGTGCCAGCCATTCCCACAGCTATAGTCAGCAAACTCTCAGCCATGGGCAAGCCTGCAGCAGGGTAAGACAAACAACTGGGCGTTAATTAACATGCCCTGCAACACAGACAGTCCACACCCTAAGACAAGAAATGTAGGAGTGCAGAGGGCCAGCATGTCACTGCCCCGTTGCTCTGATCCTGAGTTTCACATGATTGTACAGGTCACTCATTAATGCTGCACAGTCCTACATTTCTTGTTTTTCTCCATGTCACAGCAGAACAATGAAAGATTCCAGTCCTTAAAACAAAATTAGAGAAAGAGAATTCAATAATTTTAAAGAGAACAAGAATTAAGAAGGCAGACAATAAATGACTCTCCTAAAGACATATCTGGCATAAGGAAAGGAAGTCCAAACCAAGCTGAGCAAACATGAAATAGAAACAATTTCTTCACAAGGCTTATGAAACTGCAGTGCACTGTTTCATAAAGATCCCATCAGCTGATATGTTGAAGAGATAGACAGCAAAATATGGGGATTAGATTACCTGTTGGAAAAGAAGATAAATGGGGTTGATTATACGTTAGATATACCAGTAGAAATTGGTTGGGCAATTGAAATAATACATCCAGTTTTAGCCTCATTGCATACATGGAACATTGCTGTGTGCAAAAACTGCCACGTTCACCACTAATAATAGTCATGTCACATTGCAGTATATCCTGTGAAGCACTAGGAAATATGTTGACGACATGATAAGATGCTATATTAAATGCAAGGATTATCATATAGGAGGACAGTGGAGATTCACTAGGATAAGAAGTCCAAACACACTCCTTGGCAGTCTCTCTAGTTCTACCATCCATAAACTCAAGCTGATTGAAAGCTTTGCTGCCTGCATCCTCACCAGTACCAAACTCTGCATCACCCAGTTATCACCAGAGTCTACTGGCTCCCAACCTACTGGTCCTCAAACTTCAAGTATGAAGTCTTCACCCCCTAGAAACCCCCTATCTGCGACCTTCTCCTACCCCATCTTGTTGGCCTCCACCGCTCAGCGAAGCCGGGCTGTTGTGTTCCCCTGCCCCCTCTGCACCACCACTGGTGCCAAGCCTTCAACTACTCCCTCTAACCAATGGACCTCCCTCCCTCTAACCCTCCACCTCAACCCTATCCATCTATTACTAAAGCCTTGATTGTTCCTATGGTAACCTCCCCCTTGTTCAGCATCTTTATGAAGGCCTATAGGACAATATCCTACGAGTGCTATATAAATGTTATGGTTATGAAAAGTTGGATTGAAAAGTTGGATCTATGTTTATGAGGGAATATGATACAGGTTTTGGAAATAATGAATGTTTTTGATAGGTAAATATCAGAAGACAACTTTCACTGATCAGCAAGTTAAGTGAAGAGAGTACAAATTAGGGATTGGTCACCAGAAGAGAAAAAGGTCAGAAATCAGTTCAACCAGAGGCTGTTAGATCGTAGAGAGCCTCACCAAAAAGAACTGCTGTAGCCGAGTTTGTAACACCATTTACTGAGGAAAAAAACAGGGAAATGGGATTAGAGTTGAGGGAATAATAATAATCATTGTATTTGATTTAACGCTGTCTCATGCTGAGACATCTTAAAGCGCTTCACAGAATATACTGTAAAGTCGATTGACGGTATATTTTGTGGACAAAAAGTGGCAGCCAATTGTGTACAGCAATGTACCACAAACAGGGGTGGATTAAGTCACCAAACTATTATGTTTTTTTTAAAAAAGGATTACCCCCAGAAAAGCAATCTGCTATCAATTAACAACAGGGTTCCTACTTATTGCTAGGTAAACAGAAGCATGTGAACTTAGGAAACTTGCCCAACATTTCGCCTTGCCCAGGAATTGAACCCAGGTCCTCCCGCTTGTGAGGCTAATACTCTAACAATTACACTACTGAACACTAAGAAAGAGCAGGGGATTGGGATTAAAGGGGATGAACAAGCAGCAGTGCCAATACAATGAGCCAAAGGGGATCTCTCTCTGTGCTGTCACCATTCTATGATTGATTGTAACTAATGAAATGGTGAGAGCAGGATTGATGGGCTGAATGGAGCATTCCATTCCTTTATGGTTACATTGAACTTGGTTTTCTAGCAAATTAGATAAATTATTTAAATAAATATGCAAATGTTATTATTTATTTATTTAATCTATTTCCCTCCCGCTCAGTCTCCACAGCTGAACATTGTGAACGGGGATTAGCACACAGCACCTTGCAAAAGTTTCATCCACAAAGCTGCGAGTCAATATCCTGGGCAACAAAGCGGTTTATCCAGCCTAAGCCACAACACATCCGACCGAGGATTAAGAAACATCTGGATTTCAAAATGAAGCAGGTTACTGTACAGAGCAATACAGGAAGAGGAGAGGGGTGGAGCGTAAACATCGGCACGCACCAGCTAGCCCATATGGCCCGTACTTTAACTATGTAAATGGTGCATCCTGAAGGTGTCTCAGACAGACCCGCACGGGTTCCAGTCAGACTCTGATATAGGGCCAACCACAGCGGTGCCGGACTGCAGTCATCCCAGTATCTGCTGGATTGCCATTTACAAATTTATGGTGAATCTTACAAATTAGACTTCAATAGCCCTCTCGTCTTAGTTACTGAGAAAACACGAGAGAAAATAAGGCAGAGGAATAATTATCCTTAAATTGAATACAAGCACTGGGAGGGCATCTCAAAGCACTTCACAGGATTTTACTGTAGTTTAGTGACTATATTTGTAGGCAAACATGGCAGCTAATTTGCGCACAGCAAGCAGCAGTGGCAGGCCTTCTTAAAATCTTAAACCAGTTTGAAAGATTTGAGCATAACACAAAACAGTGAAAAACAGAAGCCTAAATGGCTGAAGCTTTCAATAGCTGTGAGAATGTATGAAAGGGCTGTCGGGCTTCAGGAGCGCTGTGCGCTTTCTTAGTTGCTGTTTTCAGATTTCTTTAGAAAGTCACTCACACCCTGAACAACCTGAAGCACAAACATTTAACTGCCAACCACTGTGGTCAAGTGGAGCAAACCTGTCAGTTCCAATAGTCACACCAACTTCATGGATTTTTATTTCTAAATGTTTTCACTATTTCAGTGTTAATGTACAATCAGGAATGAGATTAATAGACCTCTTACAGTGGGACCTGTTTCAACTCTCCAACACCAGCCATTTTGATGCGATTCTAAGCCTGGGATTGCTGGAGAGATACCCCCACTCCCTCACACACATACCCACAGACACCCCCCACCCGCACCACACCCGCTCCCCCCGCCCCACCACACTCCCCCCGCCCACGCCCCGGTGCCACATCCACACTCCCTCTCCCGCCCCCCGATCCACCCCCGCGCGGACTGACATGTTGAAGCTTTTACCCTGCGCCCGGCCCGCGCCCGGCCCGAGACAGTGACATCCTCCCGCGGCCAGGAGCCTCCACACACAGCGCCCTCTGTGGCCAGGAGCCTCCACACACAGCGCCCTCTGTGGCCAGGAGCCTCCACACACAGCGCCCTCTGTGGCCAGGAGCCTCCACACACAGCGCCCTCTGTGGCCAGGACATGCTATTTTTTGTCTATGCGCAGCTGTCAGTCATATTTGGGGCTGTTGAGGCGGCAGTGCTGCCGGGGCGGGGCGGCACCCGACCCCCAGCACTGAGGCTGCGCGCGGCTGAAGAGAAACGGAGACGGGCAAAGAGTCCAATGGGAGCGCGAGACGGGGTGATGGGCAGGTGGATGGTCCAATGGGATGGTCCCCGCGAGCCGTGAGGCCTCTATGGTAAGAAACTAAAATCCACCTGTTTATTGAGAGCTGCTTTTGAGCTCCTTACAATCGTAGGATCGTTCAGCTCAGAAAGAGGCCATTCGGCCAATCATGTCTGTGGCCGCTCTTTGAACAGAGCTTCCAAATCAATCCCACTCCCCCACTCTCTCAGCGAGACACGTGGGCTCAATTCCCTGCAGAGCGAGTCCTTGGGCAGTTTCCTTTCCCCACACACCTAATAATCCCTCCAAAAACAATAATAAATTGGTCATTTTCAACCCACGACTGTTTGTGGGACATTGCTGTGCGCAATTGGCTGCCGCGTTCGCCCACACATATACAGTCAATTCACTTTACAGTATATTCTGTGAAGCGCTTTGAGACGTCGAGAAGACGTGAAAAGTGCTATATCAAATGCAAGGATTATTATTATTATTTTTTTAACAGGTTTATCTACCTGTTCTGCCACCTTCAAAGATTTACTTATATGAACCTCCAAGTCTCTCTGTTCCTTCACCCCCTTTTGGATTGTAGCATCAGTTTATATTGCCTCTCCTCATTCTTCCTCCCAAAATCCATTACTTCGCATTTCTCAACCTTAAATTTCATCTGCCACGTGTCTGCCCGTTTCACCAGTGACTACTACTCTCTGCTTTCTGTCCCCCAGACAGTTTTGTATCCATCCTACCACTGTACCTTTAAAACCATGGGCAATTTTTCTAACAGATCTATTATGTGGTACTTTATGAAAAGCCTTTTGAAAATCCATATAAACTACATAAACTGCACTACCTTCATCCACGCTCTCCGTTAATTCATGAAAAACCTCTATTAGGTTTGTCAGACACAATCTGCCTTTAACAAATCCGTGTTGGATGTCCTTTATTAACCCATATTTTTCTAAGTGAAAATTAATTTTGTCCCGGATTATAGTCTCTTGAAGTTTCCCTCCTACTGATGTTAGGCTGATAGGCAACAGAATATTAATAACAAATCTTGTTATTTAATATAGTGCCTCATCACATCGTTGAGATATCCCAAAGTGCTTCAAATGATATACTGTAAAGACTGTGTATTTATATTGGCCTAATTTTGGGCTGTTGGTTGACTTTCGGTTACATATTTTAATTCTGGCAGTATTCTGACGGTAATGTTTGGGGTGTAGGTTGGGGCTGGGTTTGGGCGGTGTTGGCAGGCACTGTGATGGTTCTGACCCCAGGTTGGTTAACAGGAGCTGTACAACTGTGAACCATGTTGTGTCAACAAGCATGCAATCACACAGGGGACACGGGGTCATAACTCAGAACTCCCTCAAACACCCACTCATTCTTTCACCTTCTCTCCCTCGCTACACCATCAGCCTCAATATACTTTCAAGGTCCAGCTCACCCAAAATTCTCATCCGCATCATCCCATCCTTGCCTTCCAATGCTCCATTACTCAATACAATACAAATGTAGTCTAACCCATTTCGATAGGCTCAGCAATCAAAGCAGGCAGCAGCCTGCTTTATGCCCCCTGTCATAATCACCCACCATCGACGAGTGGGATTCCAGTCTTTCTGTCCCTACTCCATCCTGGAGGCCCACTGACTCGCTTAGGACCTGTCTCTTTAACTGTGCTTTTGGTCATCTTTCCCCTCCCCTTCACTGCATTTAGTTCCTGCCCCCAGTTCGGGTGCCCTGCCAGCAGTGAATTTTAAGAATTTCAAGATGTCCTCCCATTGTGTAAGGCACTGTGTAAGTAGAAATTGTATAAATTGCAATTTGTTGCTACGTACATTGTAAACGAAAACATTTTAATTGTAACATAATCGTGTGTTTCATTACAAGTGTCAATTCTCTATGCTGTGGCTCTCCTGGCAGTGTGTGCCCTTCCAGCCCCAATAACACTGGCATTGGAAACTGTCCTGCATTCTTTTCAGGTCCTCCTCTGCCAGGTTGCCCCACAGCAGGAAGTGGGGTCCCCCTGGTTCCAGGTTCCTCCTCACGGTGAAGGTCTCAGGGTTCAGGTGCAGATAAATTCTGGCGCCCTCATCTTTTCTCACGCACCGGCCGTGACTGGAGCACAGTGCCCGAGCGCACAGTGCCGCAGCACTTGTCACATTGACAATGTAGTGACCCAGGACACCACTGATGTACGCTTTCACCACTTCACAGGACTCCTAGAGAACAGGCAAACCGTAAATGTCACTCTTCCCATCTCCCATGTCAGGACTTTGAGCTCACAGCATGATGCTCCAGTATTCAACATAGGCCAACCAGTGTTGGTACCTTAGCCATTACTTCAAGAGCCTGACCAACTAGTCTGGCTAATCAGTAGGACTGAATGGTCACAGTGGGCAGGAACTCTTCCCACTCAGCTCCCGGTAACCCTGCAAGCCAAAGCTCTAGCAGTAGGGTAGTCCTAGGGGCAAGCTGTGTGATTTTAATTGACTAAACTCCTGCAGTACTCCAATGCACATGACCCCAAGCCTTGATTCTTGCCTACCTGCTTGTAATATATTTTTTAGGATTAGGTGAGTGGGGTGCTGAAAATGTGTATTCCATTCCAGAAAGAATTTTTCATACAAATGTGGATCTCTCAGTGTCAATTATGGTGATGGAGTGTGACCCAAAACAATCTCTGAATTGCAATTTTTTGTTTGGACTGAAACAAAATAATATTCATCCTTACATTTGGTACAGCGCACATCACACTTTCACAACAGGAGGACACCTTAAAGTGCTTCACAGAATTTACTGTGAAGTGCAGTGACTGTGGATTTGTAGGTGAATGTGGCAGCCAAATTGTACAGCAATGTCCTACAAACAGCCATGAAACAAATTACCAATTTTATTTGGGAGATTGTTGGCCAGGATACTGGGAGGGAGAAACACTTCTCTTTTCTTCATAGCACTCTCGCCTCTGAGTGAGAAAGTTGTGGGCTCAAACCCTGTGCCAGGACTTGAACTTGCACAATCTGAAGTGACACTCCAGTGTAGACCCGAGGATTAGGATTAGGGGAGCAGGCTGCTGAAATCGCTCTGGGAAGAGGATGTGTATTCCTTCAGATGAGACATTAAACCAAGGTCCTGTCTGCCTGTCCAGCGCAGGAAGTGGGGTACCCCCCGGCTATCCCCCTTAAGGATACATTAAAGATTCCCTGGCACTATTCGAAAAGATAGAGAGTTTCTCCTGGTGTCTTGGCTAACAAGTCCCCAAATAAAATTGGTCACTCAGCCTATAGTTGTTTGTGGGACATTGCTCTGCTTAATTGAGCTGCAGCATTCACCTACAAATATAGTCATTGCACTTTACAGTGAATCCTGTGAAAAGCTTTGGGATATCTTCCTGATGTGAAAGGGGTTGTACCAATTATGCAGCTTATTGTGTAATGTTAGACACTGCTGTGTGTTATCACACGGAGCACTGAATGAGGCTTTACCTGGGATCGAGCATAGTCCCCGTTCCCCCACAGGACAACCCCAGCGGCTCCCATCGCTGCACTCTCTCCAATCGTGTGCACCAGGTCAATCTGAACATTTAGTGAAAAAAACATCAAAATGGTCACAGGTTTGAACGAGCCTGACCCTGGCTCTCGATAGCCGTAATCAGGGCAGGGGCCTTTACCCTGACACAGACCCTGTCGTAATGAATATGAGGGCCGTTTAGCCATCTCCGAAATTACAAAACCAAGATTCCCCCCTCCGCTGACTGTAACCCCACCCCTGACTGTGACCCCTCCCTTGACAGTGACCCCTCCCGTGACCATGGTCTCTCTCTCAACGTGACCTCTCCCTTCCCCCAACCATGATTCCTACCTCATCTGCGCCCTGTTCTCTGACCCACACCCCCGTCTACACCAGTCTAACTCCATGGAGACTTTGACCACAGTGCATGCTGTGGGCTGACAGTTTGTGTACCTGGGTCAGGATGTCCATGGTGCTCACATACACAATGCGAGCATATGGCAGCACAGGGAGGCTGACGTTCTCTCGCACCTCTGCCAGCCGCAGGGCCTCTCCGACACGGTGATGAACATATTTCAGGGCTCTCTGCGAAGAGCGCAGTTGCTCATTCAGGTAGATGCTTGGGTACAAGGCCACACTTTCCCTCCAGAGCCAGCCCAGCCGGTCGTTCCTCTCTTTCTCCACATCGGGACACTTGCCCGTGTAATTCTCAGAAGCCATCCCATCTATGCTGTTATAGCAACAGGGAAAACCATAATAGCCCCACAGCCCACTAGGCCTCAGGCCTTTAGCTAACTTCAGTGTCTGTCCCATGAAGGCCTGGGCCTCTTGTTCAAATTCAACCTGGGCTTGCCTGGTCACCTGACTTTCAGGCCAACGTGGATGCTCCTCTCGGACCAGCTCTTCTGATTTTTGGCGGTAAATGGCCTGCTTAGCCCAGTTCCTTATCCAGGAGGGCCTCCAAGCCTCCCAGTCGATGACAGAGAGACCACTGTAGTCCGTTAATGGGATCTCTTTCTCCATGTCCGCCTGGGCCTTGGCGAGGTGTGCCTTCAGACTGCCATTCTGAGGGACACCCCCATTCACTGAGGCTCCAGCTGCAGTATAGTATGGGTAATAGCCCAGATTATCGTAGTAAAATATGGTGATGTTCTGTCCAATAAATGTAGCATTTTGGTTTGCCACAATGTCAAAAACATCCAGGCCCAGGTCTATGCCATATACTGATTTGCAGTTTGCTGTGGGAGCGTTCCACACCACAATAAAGGGTTTGTCAGATATAACAGGCCACTTTGTCTGTTTCCTTTCCCGGCCTGGAGTCAAAGGGTAGAGCCAGAGCAGGATGATCCCCGTCCTGACCAGGGTAATGGCTGCTCTGCTCATTGCATCAGAAAGTCAATGGCTCAGTTTTCAGTCTGCATAAAAGAGAGAACATGTATTTGTACAGCACTTTACATGTCAAAATGTCTACACACTTCACAGGAATTACTTTAGAGAGCAATGACGTTGCTGTGTGCAAATTGGCAGCCACATTTGCACACAGCAACGTCCCACACTGAGGTGATGAGGTGAATCACCAATTTTAACTGGAGGATTCTTGCCCAGGACCCAAGAAAAACATCTTTCTCTTTTTCCATAGACTCACAGGTTTTTCCATTCCACATTTTCTGTTGGTCAGCTGGATGTGGGATACATGCGGAAACCCATCACCATGGATAATAACAATAATAATAATATTTCTTGCATCTGATACAACTTTATCATGTGGTCGAAGCATTTCAAAGTGCTTCACATGAATTACTTCAGAGTGTAACAACAACTTGCATTTATATAGTGCCCCTCACGCAGGGTACATTTGTAGGTGAACGTGGCAGCAAAATTACACACAGCAATGCCCCACAAACAGCCATGAAGTACTCCAATGCACACGTTGGGATCCCAGAGTGCTTGACAGTGGCAGAGCACGACGCCAAGCCGGAGGGAGGGGAAGCTGACCATAGGCACTGTCGAAGAGGAAGGTCTTCAGGCATGACCTGAAGATGGAGAAGGAAGGGGCAAGGTGGAGGGATAGAGGAAGGGTATTCCAGAGTTTCGGACGTACTGGCTGAAAATGCAGCGCCCAATGGTGGAATTGAGGGCATGAAAGACATGCAGAAGGCCGGTGCCAGTCAAGCAGAGGCAGTGGGTTGTAGGTTGAGGGGGTAAGTAAGTCAGAGACGTTGGAAGGTGCTAGGGCATGAAGGGATTTGAAAACAAGTGTGAGGAACTTGAAATCGATCTGTTTGGCGATAGGGAGCCATTAGAGTCTGGCTAGAACTGGTGTGATTTGGGTATGGAGTTTAATACAGGTGAGTATTCAGGCGGCGGAGCTTTGGATCAACTGGATCCTGTGCATTGTGGAGCTGGAGGGACCGGCGAAACGGGCGTTTGAAAAGTCAAGTCAGGAGGTGACAAACGCATGGAACAGTGTTTCGGCTGCGTCTGGGGTAAGATATAGTCAGACGCAGGCAATGTGGCGGAAGTGGAGGAAGGTGGTCCTTGTCAGGGACAGGATGTGGGGAAGGAAGGACAGCTGTGGGTCGAACCAGATGCCTTGGTTGCGCACTGGTAAGTCTGAGGAATAGGCCAGGGAGGTTGAGGAGGTCAGAGCCTCAGGATAGCAGACACTGATGGGAGCCAATGTGTATGGCTTCCGTCTTGTCAATATTTAGTTGTAGGAATCGCCAAGAGAGAGTGTATAGATGAGGAAAAGGAGGGGGTCAAGGATGGAGCTCTGTGGTACACCACAGGTGACCAGGTGGGGGTGAGTGGAGAAACTGTTTGAAGAGATAAGGTGAAGCGGTTAGGTAGGATTCGAACCAGACTAGTACGGTACCACTAAGGTGTATGAGGGAGGAGAGGTGGTGGATGAGGATGGCGTGGTCGACTTGTGTCGAATGTGGCGGAGAGGTCCAGGAGGACAAGGAGGCACAGAGAGGTCACAGAGAGAAAGGACGTTGTTTGTGACCTTGACAAGTGCCATCCCTATGCTGTGTGCAGGGCGGAAACCAGACTGGGAGGGGGTGGGTGGGGGTGCTCAAGGAGGGTGTGGAGGGAGAGGTGAGAACAAAGCTGGTTAGCGACAACGCATTCCAGAGCTTTGGCAAGGAAGGGCAGGTTGGAAATGGGACAGTAATTTGTGAGGTTGGAGTGGTCAAGGGTGGGGTTTTTGAGGAGGGGAGTGATGACACCGGTTTTAATGAGAGAAGAACAGAACCTGAGGAGAGCAACTGGTTGACTGTGTCGGCCAGCAAGGGGAGAAGAGGGAGAGTTGGGTGACCAGCAACTAGGTGGGGAGGGGGTCGAGGCAGCAGGTGGTGGGCTTTATCTGGGAGATGGTGGTTGAAAAAGAGGGAGAATTAATTGACAACAACAACAAAATTATATTTGTATAGCGCCTTTCACGTCGGGAGGACGTCCCAAGGCGTTGGACAGTCAGTGTTTTGGAACCGAGCTGGGGGTCGGGATTGGGGAAAGTGGAGGGCAAGGGGGGAAACAGGGTGTTCGTAAGTACAGTTGAAGAGGAGGGTCTTGAGATGGGTCTTGAAGGGTCAGAGTGGCAGAAAGCCCACCTGCCTGGCCAATGGTGGGGTGGGTGAGGCAGGGGATGTGAAGCAGGCTGGAGCCCGCTGAGCGGAGGGAGCGGGCAGGATGGTAGGGGGTAAGGAGGTCACAGAGGAAGGGGGAAGCAAGGCCATGGAGGGCTTTTGAAAGTGAGGACCACGATCTTGAATTGTATCCTCTGATTGAAGGGAAGCCAGTGAAGGTGGGCGAGAATGGGAATGATAGAGTCACAGAGCCTGGTGAGGGAGAGGACACGGGCTGCAGAGTTCTGGATGTGGAGTCCTGTAGCTCAGTGGTTAGAACACTCGGCTCGCAAGCGAGAGACCTGGATTTGATTACCAGCAGGGCGAAACCTTGGGCAAGTTTTCTTACTCCACACACCTGATAATAATCCTTCTAGAAACAAAAATCATAAATTGGTCACTTCAATCCACGACTGTTTGTGGGACGCTGCTGTGCGCAATTGGCTGCCACGTTTCGTCCACAACTATACAGTCCATTCACTTTACAATATATTCTGTGAAGCGCTTTGAGACATCTGTGGAGTCCTGTAGCTCAGTGGTTAGAGCACTCGCTTTGCAAGTGAGAGACCTGAGTTCAATTCCAGGCAGAGGGCGAAACCTTGGGCAAGTTTCCTTACTCCACACAGAGCCTAATAATAATCCCTCCAAAACCAAAAACAATAATTAAATTGGTCATTTTCAATCTACGACTGTTTGTGGGACATTGCTGTGCGCAATTGGCTGCCGCGTTCGCCCACAAATATACAGTCAATTCACTTTACAGTGTGTTCTGTGAAGCGCTTTGGGACGTCCTCCTGACGTGAAAAGCGCTATATCAAATGCAAGGATTATTATTATTATTATTATTATCTAGAAGACGTGAAAAACGCCATATCAAATGCAAGGATTATTATTATTATGATTTGCACTCTATGGAGGGAAGAGATGCGGAGGCCGACAAGCAAGAGTTTGCATAGTCAAGTCTCGATGTTATGAATGTGCGTAGGAGGGTTTCGGTGTGAGGCAGTGGCGGAGACGGGCGATGTTGCTGAGGTGGGGGTAGGGAGAGTGGGTCATGGAACAGATGTGGTGTAGAAAGGATAGTTGAGGGTCAAACAAGATACCAAGGTTCTGGACTAGTTTAGTAAGGTGGAATGTGCATCCATGGATGGTGAATCCGCCTGAGGTGAGGAGGCGCTGACGTGAGCCGAACAGGAGGGCCTTGGTCTTGTTGACATTCAATTGAAGAAAGTTCTCGTCCAGGACTTGATATCTGACAGATTTTCTGTCAGGGAAACTGAAATGATGAACATGAAGATTATTACAATTTATATGCTCAAACCCCAAGTCTGAACTTTGAACTCATAGTCTTGAGTACTCACTGTGCTCCAATACAATGGGGAAGCACTGCATTGTCGGAGGCGTTGTCCTTTGGATAAGATTAAAAATCCCATAGCATTGTTCAAAAAGGAGTTCATCCGCTCAACGGGCTCCGGCCTGCTTCACTTCCCCCGCCTCGCCCACCCCACCAAGGAGGACGGACTTTCTGCCACTCCGCCCCCACCCTCTGGAACTCCATTCCACAGTCCCTCCTCCTCGCCCCCTCCCTTGCCTCCTTCAAGACCCATCTCAAGTCCCTCCTCTTCAACCGTGTTTTCGATCACCCTGCTTCTCCCCCTGCCCTCCGCCATCCACAATCCTGACTCCCAGCTCAGGTCCGAACCTCTGACTGTCCAACGCCTTGGAACATCCTCCCGACGTGAAAGGCTGTATACAAATGTAATATTATTGTTGTTGTTGTTCCTCTCTCCCGGTGTCCTGGGCAACAATTCCCATGATAAAAATCAGTCATTCACTTCATAGCTGTTTGTGGGACTGATCTGTGCTAACTGGTGGCCGCATTTGCTTACAAATATAGTCACTACACTCCGAAGCTCCTCACTGGTCCCCTCAGCTCAAACTACAACTGATTCAGAACCCCCCCACCTATATTCTCACCCACAATAAACTCCACACTCCCACTGCACTAGTTTTCTCTAGGCTTCACTGCTCCCTATCATAGAACGGATCAACTTCAAGATCCTCTCACTCATACAAATCGCTTCACCGCCGGTCACCTCCCTATGTTTCTGACCTGCGTTTTCCCCTCTCCACTACCCGCCACTTCTGCTCGGCTGGCTCTGCTCTGCTCTGCTGGGCTCTGCTCTGCTGGGCTCTGCTCGGCTGGCTCTGCTCTGCTCTGCTGGGCTCTGCTCTGCTGGGCTCTGCTCTGCTCTGCTGGGCTCTGCTCTGCTCTGCTGGGCTCTGCTCTGCTCTGCTGGGCTCTGCTCGGCTCAGGCTCTGCTCGGCTCTGGCTCTGCTCGGCTCTGGCTCTGCTCGGCTCTACTCGGCTCAGGCTCTGCTCGGGCTCTGGCTCTGCTCGGCTCTGGCTCTGCTCGGCTCTGCTCGGCTCAGGCTCTGCTCGGCTCTGGCTCTGCTCGGCTCAGGCTCTGGCTCTGCTCGGCTCTGGCTCTGCTCGGCTCTGGCTCTGCTCGGGCTCTGGCTCTGCTCGGGCTCTGCTCGGGCTCTGGCTCTGCTCGGGCTCTGCTCGGGCTCTGGCTCTGCTCGGGCTCTGCTCGGGCTCTGGCTCTGCTCGGGCTCTGCTCGGCTCAGGCTCTGCTCGGCTCTGCTCTGCTCGGCTCGGCTCAGGCTCTGCTCGGCTCTGGCTCTGCTCTGGCTCTTGCTCTGCTCGGCTCTGGCTCTGCTCGCTCTGCTCTGCTGGGCTCTGCTCAGCTGGCTCTGCTCTGCTGGGGCTCGGCTCTGCTCGGGCTCTGCTCTGGCTCTGCTCGGCTCGGGCTCTGCTCTGGCTCGGGCTCTGCTCGGGCTCGGCTCTGCTCGGGCTCGGCTCTGCTCGGGCTCTGGCTCTGCTCGGGCTCTGCTCGGGCTCGGGCTCTGCTCGGGCTCTGGCTCTGGCTCGGGCTCTGCTCGGGCTCTGCTCTGCTCGGGCTCGGGCTCTGCTCGGGCTCTGGCTCTGGCTCTGCTCGGGCTCTGGCTCTGCTCGGGCTCGGCTCTGCTCGGCTCAGCTCTGCTCGGCTCTGGCTCTGGCTTCCTGTGTGCCCTTCCTGTGCTGCACACCACACTTTCAGCCACTACACCCAGAAGCTTTGCAGCTCTCTCCCTCCGCCTCGCCCTTCCTTCCCCTCTTTTAGATCACGTCTCAAGACCTTTTTCTTTGACAATAACAATTTGTATTTATGAATGCGTCCCTCACGCAGGGTTGCGTCCCAGAGCGCTTGAGCGCTTACGGTCACCTCTTCTCTCCCCTTGACTCTGAGTGAAGTTCCGCCACTGTTAAGTGCTCTGAGACGCTATCCCTTGTGAAGGGCTCTGTAAACACAAGTTGTTCTTTGCAAAGTCCTCCTGACGTGAAAGGGGCCACAGTCCGAGGCCTGAGGGTGAAATCACAGCTAAGCTTAACAAAGAAAAGTGTGAAGCCAAACTCACCCACAACCCAACAAACCCACAACACCGGAATGAGGGAATGTCGGCCACACTCTGCGGTTAATCAGACACAAGGTCAGCTGATCAATCGCGGTTGGCAGAGAGGGAGGGAGTCCTGGTGTCCAGCACAGACTGAGCGCCACAGAGCGCCGCCCCGGGGGGGGGGGGGGGGGTGAGGGGCCCCGGGGGGGGGGGTGAGGGGCCGCCCCGGGGGGGGAGGGCCGCCCCGGGGGGGGGGGGAGGGGCCCCGGGGGGGGGAGGGGCCCCGGGGGGGGTGAGGGCCCGGGGGGGGGGGGTGAGGGGCCCCGGGGGGGAGGGGCCCCGGGGGGGGAGGGGCCCCCGGGGGGGGGAGGGGCCCCGGGGGGGGGAGGGGCCCCGGGGGGGGGGGGTGAGGGGCCCCGGGGGGGGAGGGGCCCCGGGGGGGGGGAGGGCCCCGGGGGGGGGGGGTGAGGGGCCCCGGGGGGGGGTGAGGGGCCCCGGGGGGGGGGGTGAGGGGCCCCGGGGGGGGGGTGAGGGGCCCGGGGGGGGGGTGAGGGCCCCGGGGGGGGGGGGTGAGGGGCCCCGGGGGGGGGGTGAGGGGCCCGGGGGGGGGGTGAGGGGCCCCGGGGGGGGGGTGAGGGGCCCCGGGGGGGGGTGAGGGGCCCGGGGGGGGGGTGAGGGCCCCGGGGGGGGGTGAGGGGCCCCGGGGGGGGGTGAGGGGCCCCGGGGGGGGGTGAGGGCCCGGGGGGGTGAGGGGCCCCGGGGGGGGTGAGGGGCCCCGGGGGGGGAGGGGCCCCGGGGGGGGGGGGGGGGGGGGGGGGGGGGGGGTGAGGGGCCCCGGGGGGGGGAGGGGCCCCGGGGGGGGAGGGGCCCCCGGGGGGGGGGGGGGGGTGAGGGGCCCCGGGGGGGGGGGTGAGGGGCCCCGGGGGGGGGGGGGTGAGGGGCCGCGGCAGCGCACGGCTCCGGCGCTCTGGTGTTTGGCTGCAGCAGTGGCCGCTGACCCGCGCGGATTGTAGTGACTGTCCCGGTACGGAGATGGAGATTAGAAACATTAGTAAAGTTCTCAGTGAGAGGCTGTGCTCCTGTGTCTGTGTGTGTCTGTCTGTGTCTGTCTGTCTCTGTGTCTGTGTCTGTCTGTGTGTGTGTGTCTGTCTGTCTGTCTGTCTGTCTGTCTGTCTGTGTCTGTCTGTCTGTCTGTCTGTGTCTGTCTGTCTGTCTCTGTGTCTGTCTGTCTGTGTCTGTCTGTCTGTGTCTGTCTCTGTCTGTCTGTGTCTGTCTCTGTTGATGTGGTTGTGTCTGTCTGTCTGTCTGTCTGTGTCTGTCTGTCTGTGTCTGTCGGTCTGTCTGTGTCTGTGTCTGTCTGTCTGTCTGTCTGTGTCTGTCTGTGTCTGTCTGTCTGTGTCTGTCTCTGTCTGTCTGTGTCTGTCTGTCTGTGTCTGTCTGTCCTGGAGGGACAGGACAGCCATTATACACACAGTAAATAGAACCCAACTTGGTGTCTGCCTGACACACAGTTATATATACACAGTTATATATACACACAGTTATATATACACAGTTATATATACACACAGTTATATATACACAGTTATATATACACACAGTTATATATACACAGTTATATATACACACAGTTATATATACACAGTTATATATACACACAGTTATATATACACAGTTATATATACACACAGTTATATATACACAGTTATATATACACACAGTTATATATACACAGTTATATATACACACAGTTATATATACACAGTTATATATACACCGTTATATATACACAGTTATATATACACAGTTATATATACACCGTTATATATACACAGTTATATATATATACACAGTTATATATACACCGTTATATATACACCGTTATAGATACACAGTTATATATACACAGTTATATATACACCGTTATATATACACAGTTATATATACACCGTTATATATACACAGTTATATATATATACACAGTTATATATATACACAGTTATATATATACACAGTTATATATATACACACTGTTATATATACACAGTTATATATACACACAGTTATATATATTCACAGTTATATATATATACACAGTTATATATATACAGTTATATATATACACACTGTTATATATACACAGTTATATATACACAGTTATATATATACACACAGTTATATATACACAGTTATATATACACACAGTTATATATATTCACAGTTATATATATATACACAGTTATATATATACAGTTATATATATACACACTGTTATATATACACAGTTATATATATACACACAGTTATATATACACAGTTATATATATACACAGTTATATATATACACAGTTATATATATACACAGTTATATATATACACAGTTATATATACACACAGTTATATATACACAGTTATATATACACAGTTATAGATACACAGTTATATATACACAGTTATATATTAATATAAGTTATATTATATACACAGTTATATATATACACAGTTATATATATACACAGTTATATAAACACAGTTATATATATACACAGTTATATATATACAGTTATATATACACAGTCATATATACACATAGTTATATATACACACAGTTATATATATACACACAGTTATATATATACACAGGTTATATATACACACGGTTATATATATACACACGGTTATATATACACACGGTTATATATACACACAGTTATATATATACACACAGTTATATATATACACACAGTTATATATATATACACACACGGTTATATATACACACGGTTATATATACACACGGTTATATATATACACACGGTTATATATACACACGGTTATATATACACACAGTTATATATATACACACAGTTATATATATACAGTTATATAAATACACAGTTATATATATACACAGTTATATATATACACACAGTTATATATACACACATATATATACACACAGTCATATATATACACACGGTTACATATATACACATGGTTACATATATACACACGGTTATATATACACACGGTTATATATAGACACGGTTATATATACACACGGTTATATATATATACACACAGTTATATATATACACACGGTTATATATATATATATACACACGGTTATATATATATACACACGGTTATATATATATACACACGGTTATATATATATACACACGGTTATATATATATATATACACACACGGTTATATATATATATACGGTTTATATATATATATACGGTTATATATATACACACGGTTATATATACACACGGTTATATATACACGTGGTTATATATATACACACGGTTATATATATATATACACACGGTTATATATACACACGGTTATATATATACACGGTTATATATACACACGGTTATATATACACACGGTTATATATACACACGGTTATATATACACACGGTTATATATACACACGGTTATATATACACACGGTTATATATACACACGGTTATATATACACACGGTTATATATACACACAGTTATATATATACACACGGTTATATATATACACACGGTTATATATATACACACGGTTATATATACACACGGTTAGATATATATACACACGGTTATATATATACACACAGTTATATATACACACGGTTATATATACACACGGTTATATATACACACGGTTATATATACACACGGTTATATATACACACGGTTATATATACACACGGTTATATATACACACGGTTATATATACACACAGTTATATATATACACACGGTTATATATATACACACGGTTATATATATACACACGGTTATATATACACACGGTTAGATATATATACACACGGTTATATACATACACACGGTTATATATATACACGGTTATATATATACACACGGTTATATATATACACACAGTTATATATACACACGGTTATATATACACACGGTTATATATATATATACACGGTTATATATATATACACGGTTATATATACATGGTTATATATATACACACAGTTATATATATACACACAGTTATATATATACACACGGTTATATATATATACACACAGTTATATATATACACAGTTATATATATACACACAGTTATATATATACACACAGTTATATATACACACGGTTATATTCTACACATTATATTCTATATACACATTTTAAACGAGTAATCCCATCAACAGAAAGGAAGAGGAATGGGTAACTATCATTCAATGTTGGGAGGAGGGGGGGGGGGGGGGAGTAGGAGAGAGTGATCCTAAACAACTGCTAATATAAACTCCTTTATTATGTGTGGAGAGAATTGGAGTGGGAGAGGCTGTGGAGGTGTGAACGGGGGATTGCCTGGGGTGGGGGAAAGCAGCTATGATCAAAAGCCCAGTAAGGTTGGTTGTCTCCCAGGTGCCAGTGTAAGGGATGTCTCCGAGTGGCTGGAAAATATCTTGAATTATATACACGATTAAAGGGCACGACCTCAAGGTTGAAAATAATATTAATAATCCTTACATTTGATCCAGCACCTTTCACATCCAGAGGATGTTTCAGATCACCTCTTGTGGGCGATTGTGCACAGCAGTGTCCCACAAACAGTAGTAGATTGAGTGATAACATTTTTTTGGTAAGGATTGTTACCCCTGGAGTTCCAGAGAGTGGGGGCAGAATGGCTGAAAGTCCACCACCAAAGGTGGGAATAGGGCTGGAGACATGAGCAGGCGGATGTTCACTGAGTGAAGGTAGGCCTAAAGGACGAGGCTAATTTCAGTTGACTGCTGCTAACTAGTCTCGGACTAATGGGCAATGTTGCACTGAGCAACGTAGCATCAACATAGAGCACCGCCTTTACCACTAGGCAGAAGGGTGCATCTGTGAACGAGTTCCAGGGCTTTCGGTGGAAACTTGTGTCAGAGAGTTTGATAATGAGTGATGATCATTCAAGTCTGAAGTGAAAATGTTCAATGAAGCTTTGGGGCAATGATTGACTAACTTAAGTTATCCCATCAGACAAGCCTAAGGAATGTCACCAACATTCACTGCATGGACAGATGGGATAAACAAGAAAAAGACATTCAAAGTTAGTCATTTATTGAAATAGTTTATTTTTTGTTAAAATAATTGTGAGCCTGAGGTTAAGGCTAAACTGAGATTTCATTTGAGGAGGTAGCAGTATTAAAATCAAAAATGCAAACATTAGAGTAAAGAAGCCTTAATTTTAACAATAAATCATGCACCCAAGAGATTCTTCTGTTCAATTTCTTGTTTGTCCTTTGAAAAATTGGTTGGCAAATGATTTTTGCAGAAATAACCTGTTCCAAGGAATTAAAGGGTTAAGGGCTTTCACTCAGGTAACACATAAATAAATATAGGAAACTCCTGATAACACAATTCTGGCTTAATTTATCATTAGCACTTAAGTCATCATGCTGTCAATATCATTTATTTTTATGTTTCAGTGCCTTGGGATATCCTCCCGACGTGAAAGGCGCTTATACAAATGCAATTTTGTTGTTATGTTTATACATGTGGCCAACTGGCCGCTATAGATAATCCTTCACTGAACTGTTTTCCCCTGGAGTGACAAGTTATCAGGACTTCACTGCATCGGGGGACAGATTCCAGGTATGGGGGTGTGCAGCTTGGGTTTTCACACACTTTTTGAAGATTTGTCAAATGTGGGTGAAAGTAGTGCTGGCGGATTTCAGTGGATAAGAGAATCACTTTTATAGCACTAAACCTATAAAGCAAAGTGCTTCACAGGCAATTGGGTGAGACTAGTGACTGCTTTTTGTAGCCAAACACAGCAGCAAAGCCCCACAAACAGCTGGGAGATTCATCACCAATTTATCTGAAGGGTTGTTGGTCAGGACCTCGGGAGAAACTCCCTTCTCCTTTCAAGTATCGTGATGCTGTTGAACCTTCTACCTGAGCCGGCAGCTGGGAGCTCATCTTAACATCCCAGCCCAAAGATTGAGTGTTCAACAATGCTTGAGACTGCTGGAATCTGAGCTCATATTATAATATGGGGCTTGACCCACAAACTTCTGATCCAGAGGCAAGCGTGCAACTCAGCCAAGTTGACTTAGTCTCGGCTTCAGCTGGCTCAGCGTGTGTCAGCCTGGCTCAACAACAATTTGCATTTATATAGTGCTCTTCATGTGGGGTTGCATTTTAGAGTACTTGATAGTGGCAGAGTCTGCCACTGAGCCAAAGGGAGAGAGGGTGGGGAGAGCTGCCCGTAAGCACGATCAAAAAGGAAGGTCTTTAGGTAGGATTTGAAAGTGGGGAAGGAGGGGGCAAGGCAGATGGATTGAGAGAGAGAATTCCAGAGTTTCGGGGTGTAGTGGCTAAAGGCATGGCCACCAATGGTGGATGGGATGAGGGACAGCTAGGAGGCCGGAGCCAGCCGAGTAGAGGCAGCGGGTGGTGGAGTGGGGGTAAGCAAGTCAGATAGTTAGGGAGGTGGGAGGACATGAAGTGATTTTAAACCGAGTGAGATGATCTTGAAATCGATCTGTTCGGTAATTGGGAGCCAGTGGAGTTTGACAGACTCGGATGATGTGGGGATAGAGTTTTGTGCGGGTGAGTATCTGTGTGTCAGCCCAGCTCAGTGTATGTCAGCCTGGTTCAGTTTGTGCCACCTGGACTCAGGGTCATCGCTGTGAAACTAGGTCCATGACTAGCAGATTGTCGGTGACAGCTTTTTACTAACCATAGCTCTGGGATGAGCTGGGATTCCTGGGAGGAGCTGATGGTATAAACCAGGCTTCATGGACAAAACGGGGAATAGTATCTTGTGAGGGTAAGGGAGAAGTGAGGGTCCTCTTGTTACTTCCAGTCCAACCAACCAAAATAGCAATGCTAAAGTTAGCATTATCCTGGAACCGGAAAGGGAGGGGATGGGGGGGGAAGAGAGAGAGAAAGATCCCAAACAAGTCAATGGGACAGAGATGGAAACAAACACTTCATCCATTGTCTGACAGGAGCCAAACAATCCACATAGAGAGTGATAGATTGGCAAAGTCAGAGAGCGGGAGATAAGAGACTTGAAAGAACAGAGGGAGCTTTATCTTCAATGTCTGTCTGGGCTGCTGAGCCCTGGTCCCAGAGAAGAAGTGTTCTAACCAAACACCATTCCATTTCCTCAATACACTTTGTAATTCAATAATAACTTTTTGAGATTGATTTGCACAGTTATTCTCACGGTAAACACACTTTTCAACGCAGTGCAGAGATGAGCTGAAGGCTTGCTACTTTGGGCTGATTTATGTGATAAGCCTGTGTGATAGACTTTGAAATTGTTGCATTTTCTCCAGAGTTTGAGGATCAAATCCTAAAATGATCCAGTGCAAAAACTGTTCCCTCTTCATCGAATACACTTCCCGAAGACAACATTTCTGAAGATTAAAACTTTGTTGTTGCATTCTAGAGAGAAAGAGAACTGGGTTATTATTACCTGTTGTTTAGTAGTTCACTTTATATACCCAACCAAGTTGCGGATAGGAAGGTAGTAGCAATGCTCTCCTGCATCTCATGTTGATCTATAATGTCAACCAGGAAGCTCAAAGTGAGTTCTTGGTACCTGCCATCCACCTAGTGAGGGCTCAAACCCATGCTTATCAGATGTCAAATGAACAACTAGTAACTATCCTCCTTGGGGAGGGGAAAGTTAGCAGGATCTCCTTGGAGCTGAACTGGCTCCAAGGTGACAGGTTTGGCAACAGAATATCAGAATCGACGCAACACTCTGTGGCAATCTCTAGTCCAATTCCTGAGCCAGGCGGGTCTGCAGTATTCCAAGCACTGCTAATGACACCATAGCCCATCCTGACTCATCGGCAGGACCTGGAAGGGCAGACAGTCACTGGGGGCAGGTCTCTTCCCACTCAGCTCCCGTAATCCCAACAAGCCAAAGCTTTAACGGGTAGGGTGGTCCTAGCTCGACAAACAGTGGGAAATTTTGCTGGGCAGTTCTCTCAATGTCAAGCTTTATGGTTTTAGCCGGTTAGGCTCCAGCAGTTACCCCAATGCACACTCCTGGATCCCCAAACCTTGGCTCTTGCCAACCTGTGCCTAATACTTTCTTGAATTAGGTAAGCAGGATGTGTCCCTCCCGGGAAAGAATGCGCATTCCATTACATCAAATATCTCTGGAATTTTCATGTGTAGGTGAGTTGCATGGAACCCTCAGTTTGGTTTAGATAATGGTAAGCATGTTGATTGGTTTCTGCACCTGTCAGACACCCGACTGACCCCAAAAAAACTTTTTTCACCACCTTTTCTCACCAGCCAGAGGGTCACAGGATTGTTGACTGACACTGACCATGCTCTGTGATAGACCAGTGTACTTACCAACGTTACACATGTGTGAAACCACACAGTGGATATCATATACAATACAGTATTACATTTGGAAAGGGTCTTTCACATTGGGAGAACGTCCCAAGGTGCTGAATAGGCAGGACCCAAGCTAGGGGGAAGTTTGAGAGCAGGGAGGGTATAGGTAGGAGGGTGGCCAAAGACACGGTCAAAGAGGAGGGTCTTGAGGCGTGCCTTGAAGGAGGCAAGGGTGGGAGAAAGGCGAAGGGAATGTGGGATGAAGTGCCAGAGGGTGGGGGTAGAGAGGCTGCAGGCCTGACTGCCGATGGTGGGAAAGGTCTGGCGGGGTACATGGAGCAGGCTGGAGCCTGCTGAGCGAACAGGTTGATCAGGGAGGTTGGAGAGGTAGGAGAGGGCAAGGCCATGAAGGTGAGGTTGAAAATTTTTAACTCAATCCTCAGGGATGGGGAGCCAGGTGAGGGTGGGTTTGATGGAGTCACGGAGCCTGGTGTGAGAGAGGAATTGAGCTGCAAAGTTCTGGATGATCTGCAGCTTGTGGAGGGAAGGATTGGAAAGGCCGACAAGCATGGTGTTGATAGTCGAGCTTGGATGTAATGAAGACACGTATGAGGGTTTCGGCAGCCGGAGGGGTGAGGCAATGTTGTGAAGGTGGGGGAAAAGCAGAGCAGGTCATGGCACGGATTTCGGGGAGAAAAGACAGTTGCGGGTCGAACAAGACATCTAGGTTCCTGACTGGCTTGGTGAGGTGGAGTGTGCATCCGTGGATGTTGATACTGTCAGTGCCTGAAGCACGATCCAATCAGGAGAGGCTTGGTTTTGCTGACGTTCAACTGTAGAAAGTTGGCTCTCGTCCAGGACTTGATTTCTGACAGGCAGTCTGTCAGGACATCAGTGCTCCTGGAGTCGAGGGTGGAGGCAGAGAGATAGAGTTGGGTGTCATCCACATACATGTGGAAGTTGACCCCATGTCTGCAGTGATTTCACCAAGAGGAAGCATATACAGGTTGAAGAGAAGAGGACCAAGGACAGAGTTGTGAGAAACACTGCACAAGATGGTCCGGAGGTAGGAGTAGAAGCCGTTTGTGGGGACAAAGTGGAGATGGTGTGAAAGATAGGATCTGAACCATTCAAGGACAGAACCTTGAAGGTTGAGGTTAGAGGAGAGGTGGTGGAGAAGGCTAGAGTGGTCCCCAGGGTCAAAGGCAACGGAGAGGTTGAGGAAGACGAGGAGACAGAGGGAGCCCTGGTCACAGGTAGACAGAATGTCATTTGTCACTTTGACCAGGGCTGTTTCTGTGCTGTACACAGAATGGAAACCCGATTGGAGGGGTTCCTAAAGGCAGTGGCAGGAGAGGAAGGAGTGAAGCTGGGAAGCAACAACTCTTTCAAGGACCTTGGAAAGGAAGGCTGGAGATCGGGTGGTAGTTAGTGAGCAACAATAAGTCCAGGGAAGGTTTATTTAGGATGGGGTGATGACAGCTGTTTTTAGGAGGGTGGGAACGGTGCCAGTTGACAGGGAGAGGATGACGAGGAAAGGGGCGAGGAGGTGGAGCTTGGAGATAAGGACAGGGGTAGGGATGGGGTCGAGGGACCCAGGTGGTGGGCTTCATGCAGGTTACAGTGGTGGTGAGAGAGGAGGGGGAAGACAGTTTCGAAGATGTGGAGGGAGGGGCTGGAGTGTGACAGAGAGGTGGGGGGGAAGGGCAGAGGTGGCTGAAAGGATCCCCTCAATTTTGGTCTCATCGCAGTTGGAGTTAGAGGAGAGGATGAGTGAGGCATAATAGGGTGGACAGAGGAGCTGGTTGGCAGTGGAGAAGAGAAGCCTGGGTTTGTCGTTGGCCTCCAAGATTAACTTGGAATAGAAAGATGATTTTAGCAGAGGCAACGGCAGAGCGGTAACTTTTTATGTGATCCAGCCAGATCTGCCAGTGGACCGTTAAATCAGATTTGAGCCAGGTGCGTTCAGTAGCAAGAACCTGACCCTTGAGTGAGCAGAGATGGCTGGTGTACCAGGGTGCGTTGCATGAGCAGGAGGTGCTTCGGGAGGTGAGCAAGGGCATCGAGAATGATGGAGAGGGAGTTGTGGAGGAGAGTGACTGAGGAGGATAAGTCGGTGCGGGAGGTAGGCCAGAGGGGGAGGAGTTCAGACAACTCCAGGGCAGCAGAGAGGGAGTACGGAGAGATTGTTTTCCAGTGGCGGTAGGAGATGGAGGTGGGTTGGATGGCAGTGGAGGGATTGAGGAGTTAAGGGAAATGAAATGATGATCTGAGATGGCTTTATCGGTGATTGTGCTGAGATCTCACAGATGGGAACTCTCCCTGGACCCATCTCTACTCTTAAATTACCACCCAATCTCCAACATCCCTTTCCTCTCCAAGGTCCTGGAATGGATTGTTGCTTCCCAGCTTCGCTCCTTCCTCTCCCGCCACTCCCTTCACAAACCCCTCCAATTGGGTTTCCGTGCCACCCACAACACAGAAACAGCCCCAGTCAAAGTGACAAATGACATTCTGTCCATCTCCAACCAGGTCTCCCTCTGCATCCTCATCCTCCTTGACCTCTCTGCTGCCTTCGACGCCGTAGACCATTCTATCCTCATCCACCATTTCTCTTCTCGCCTCAACCTTCATGGCTCTGTCCTTGACTGTACCTCTCACACCGCCTGCACTTCATCTCCACAAACTGTTTCTCCTCTAGCCCCAGCACCGTCTCGTGCGGTGTTCCTCAGGGCTGTCCTTGGTCCCCTCCTCTTCAATATCTATATGCTCCCTCTTAATGACATCATCCGCAGACATGGGGTCAACTTCCACATGTACGCAGATGACACCCAACTCTATCTCTCTGCCTCCACCCTCGACTCCAGGAACCCTGCTGTCCTGACAGAAAGTTTGTCAGACATCATGTCCTGTTTTGTACAGTTGAACGTCAACAAGACCGAGGCCCTCCTGATTGAATCCACACCTCAGGCGACAGCACCACCATCCATGTTGCATACTGCACCTTACTAAGCCAGTCCGGAACCTTGAGGTCTTGTTTGATCCTCAGCTATCCTTTCTACCCCATATCTGTGCCATGACCCACTCTGCCTTCCCCCATCTCTGCAATGTCACCCGGCTCCACCACTGTCTCACACCACAGGCCGTCGAAACCCTCATTACCCTTCATTACATCGAGGCTTGACTATGCAAACTCCTTGCTTGCCGGCCTCCACAATTCCTTCCTCCTTAGGCTTCAGATCACCCAGAACTCTGCAGCCGTGTCCTCTCCTGCACCAGGCTCCGTGAACCTACCAACCTCATCCTCGCTCGACCCCACTGATATCCCATCATACAGAGGATACAGATCATGATCCTGGTCCTCACCTTGAAAGCCCTCCATGGTCTTTCTCCCCCCATCTCTGCGACCTCCTAACTCCCTACCATCCTGCTCGCTCCCTCCACTCATCAGCCTCCAGGAGCCAGTTTCACATCCCCTGCCTCGCTTGCCCAACTATTGGTGGGCGGGCCTTCTGCCACTCAGCCCCCACCCTCTGGAACTCTGTCCCGCAGTCCCTCCGCCTCTCCCCCTTCCTTGCCTCTTCCAAGATACTCCTCTTCGACTGCTTTTTATATAATAATAATACTTGCATTTGATATAGCGCTTTTCACGTCGGGAGGACGTCCCAAAGCGCTTCACAGAACACACTGTGAAAGTGAATTGACTGTATATTTGTGGGCGAACGCGGCAGCCAATCGCGCACAGCAATGTCCCACAAACAGTCGTGAATTGAAAATGACCAATTTATTATTGTTTTTGTTTTTGGAGGGATTATTATTAGGCGTGTGGAGTAAGGAAACTTGCCCAAGGTTTCGCCCTGTCTGGAATTGAACTCAGGTCTCTCGCTTGCAAAGCGAGTGCTCTAACCACTGAGCTACAGGACTCCACATTCTCCCCCCATCTTAAATTCCACTCTTGCTTTGTTTGCATACGAGTGCGGGCACACTCAATATCGGTGCCCTTCCTCATCAGACAAATTACATTTTCTCAGTGCCTGGCATCCACAAATCTCATGGTTCTGCCCACAAATACTGCACCTCATCTCAGGGCATACTGCCACGAAATGCCCTAACCTCTCACAAAGCTTTGGAATTCCTTGGTAATACAATATACCCTCTCAGTGCTCCCCAAATAATCATACTCAGCAAGTGTATTACCGCCCCCAGTAACTGAAGATATGGAAACAAACCCAACACTTTCTTGTCCCGTTCCAAACAGAATCCTGGTCAGTAACCAGTAACCTTTATCACTGACTGTATATTTGTGGGCGAACGCGGCAGCCAATCGCGCACAGAAATGTCCCACAAACAGTCGTGAATTGAAAATGACCAATTTATTATTGTTTTCTCACCACTGAGCTACAGGACTCCACCTTATGCTTCCCTGCTTCCCCTCTGCCCTCCACCATCCCCAAACCCAACCCTCAGCTCAGACCCGAAACTCTGTTGGGACATCCTCTCAACGTGAAAGGCACTATACAAAAGTAATTTTGTTTTTGGTGTTGAGACACTGAGGCCCTGGGTAATCACCAGGTTCAGTGGGTGGCCATGAACATGGGTGGCAGAGTGGATGTGGAGGGAGAGGTTGTGAGAGGAAAGGAGAGAAAAGTCGGTGGAGATAGAGCAAGAGGGGGTGAAGTGCAGGTTGAGGTCACCTAGGATGAGGAGGCATTCAGACGAGAGGTGGAGGGAAGCTAGGAAGGCGGAGATGTCAAAGATGAAGGTGGGGGAGACTTTGGGGGATGATAAATCAGGAGAATATTGATGAAAATATTGGAGGGATGGTAGAGTGTAAAGTGCTTGAAGGAGGGGAATGACCCGAAGGGAGTAGGGGGATGGAGCAAATGAGGACCTGGTGATGAGGGCCACACCACTACCATGGTGGTCAGGATGTGGGGCATAGTGGAAGGTATCACCAAGTGGTGTAGCCTCAGTCAGGGAGAAGATGTCATCTGGGGTGATCCAGGTTTCAGTGAGGGCCATGATGTCGATGTTTTCATCAACGATGGTGTTGTTGATGCAGAGGGGACAGTTGACAGAGAAATGTGTGCAGAGGGAGCATAAATATAATGTATTTAGATTTCAGCAAGGCCTTTGACAAAGGATCATGTGAGTGGACTTCCCGGTTTCTGATTTTAATCAATAAAAATTTGTCAGGGTTCCAATTTTCTCCAAATTGAGGAAGATTACTTCCTGTCATTAAATGTTTCTTTTAAAATACTTTAATTTTTTAATCATAGAAAAATGACTGACAGATGTCATAAGGTTTCCACAGATGTCATTTCCTGCGAGCTTGATGATGAGGCTTCAACTGCCCAGCCTGCAGAAAGTGATGTCCACGGTGACCTTATAACCCAAAGGTTGGCCATTTTTAGTAAAATAAAACCAACATAAAAAATTATATTATTTGTGAGAAATTAAAAATAAATAAGAAATTAAAACCAGCAACACCTATATACGAGAGACTGCATCACAGGGCTGTAAGACACTGGATTGTGAGAGGACAGACAACAACTTCTAAATGGAATGAAAGCATTGTCTCCGTGTTGCCAGCGCCTTGGGATGTCCTCCTGGCGTGAAAGGGGCTATACAACTGTAATTTTGTTGTTGTTGCATACTGTACACTGGAGAGAAGGGAGGAATGTCACAAGTGTTCAGATTAGATATAAAAGGCTAGTTTCAGGAATTGGTGAGTCAGTAATGAGAAAGGGAAGGAAGAACTTAAAAAAGTTCCTATTTATAACTGCCTGTTTCCTAACTGTTAGAGGGTCAGAGAAAAGCAACAAGGATAATAATACAGTAATAATAATCCTTGCATTTGATGCACGGCCTTAGCACATCATTAAGATGTCTCAAAGCGCTTCACAGGATTTTATTGTGAAGTGTAGTGACTGTGCTTGTAGGCGAAGATAATAGCAGATTGCAAAGCTTTGTTGTGTGAAGAGAAGCTTGTAGAGATAACCTTGTTCTCAATAGAAAATAACAAAAGGGGAAATGATCTAGGTTGTTAAAGTGATGAGTGGCACAGATGAGGTAAAGACCAGCGCAGGCTTGTTGGCTTGTCAGGCACTGTGTCTGTGATGTGAACAGACTCCGTGATCCAACCAGTGATGGCAGAACAAGAGGACGCAGGTTTAATGTTAAAAGCCTCAGATGGAACTGGACCTTTGAGGAACAAAATGTTCTGCTCCAGAGTGGTAGATGTGTGGAAAGATTCCCAACAAAATCAGCAAATGCCTCATAGATTACATCCTTATTGTATTTGCTTCTGAACAGTGTAGGAGGGACAGTGACAGACTGAGATGAACACATACTCTATGAGGCACATTGCTGCGGCAGAGGGGACAGTGAAATATTGGCATCTACTTTGAAAGCTTCTGAATATATTTGTAATCAGCATATGCTGTCTGTGTCTCCCTGGAACTCTCACACTCTGGTCTCAGGTTTGGTTTTGTCGGCAAGACTATAGCCATACTCTTTGATTCCCGTCAATGTCCTACCGGTCTGAACTCCTCAACCTCCCCAGGCTCTCCCTCAGACTCACTGAACCTGTACGCAACTTAGGCATCAGGTTTGATCCCCAGCTTTCCTTTCTACCACACATCTGTTCCCTGAACAGGAACGTTTTTTACCACATCCGCCACATTGCCCGACTCTCTCAGTACCTCACAGCCGACTCAGCTGAAACCCTTGTTCACGCCTTCGTCAATTCGTGGCTGGATTCTTCCAAATGCCCTCCTCGCAAGTTTCTCCAGTTCCACCATACAAATCTAATTATTTGAAAACCCCGCCGCCTGGATACTCATGCGCACAAAACTCTATACCCACATCGCACCAGTCTTTGCTTGGCTCCCGATCACAGAACAGATCGATTTCAAGATCCTGTCACTCATTTTCAAATCACTGCATGTCCTCGCACTTCCCTACCTATCCAAACCCCCCATTACCCCCCATTCCACCCCCGGTGCCTCCGTTCGGCTGTCTCCAGCCTATTTGTCTCTAGGGCCCTTTGTTCCACTGTCAGTGGCTGTGCCTTCAGTCACTAAGCCCTAAAATTCTGGAACTCTCTCCCTCAATCCCTCTGCCTTGGCCTGTCCCTTCCCACCTTACTGTCACCTCCCACTTCCCCTGGCTCGTTGTCAGACTCCACTACTGTGAAGTGATCCGGGACACTACCCCACGTGAAGAGCACTATATAAATGCAAGTTGTTGTTATTGTTGTTGCTTTGTAGCTGGATTTTGGCCAAAGCACAGGCTCTTGGAGCCTGGAAAAATAAATAACTGAAAAAATACCATTTATATTTATCTTGTGGCTTTCACACTGGGAAAGTGCTTAAAACTGCTGGTCGGGCACCCGAGCTAGAGTTGGAAGCTGAGGGTTGGGGAGGAGACAGATGCCTGAAAGTGTGGTCATGAAGGTCTTGAGCCGTACCTTGAACAGGGTAGGGAGGGAACGAGTCGAGTAACTCTGGGATGGAGTTTATAGTAGCTATAAATAGAGAATCCTATTTACCTGAGGGACAGGTTCAGGTACCTGCAGGTCTCATTCGAGGCTGGAGAAGTGACTCTGAAAGAATATTCAGGAATATTCAGGTTTAGATGAATGAGATGGAGAGGGTTGGTAATGGCCCGGATAGAGTGGGCTTTGTGTGGACTGAGCAGGGAACAAACAGCCTGATAAGGCAACATAATCAAAGGTATACCAGGGGGCAATATTTCAAATACATCAACCTGATTGAAACCACCAACGTGGCATTAGTAACTGAGCATTCTCCCAGGAGAATATGTGGCATTGGTTTGTTCTATCAGGTTGATGTGTATTACAACAATACCATCTAGTGGTGGACCCCACTCTCATCCGGAATTTGGGAACAGGAAGGGGCTGTTTGACCCAGGAGCCTGCTCTACCAGATAATTCCAGAGAACTCCACTCTATGTCTTGTTGAATTAAGGTGGTATCTTTGGAACCACAAATTATTTACATTTATATTGTGTTCTTTACGCAGGGTAGCATCTCGGAGCGCTACACAATGGCAAGCATGTGGGAGAGGGAGGTGACCAGAGGCATGGTTGAAGAGGTAGGTCTTCAGGTGGGATTTAAAGAGAGATAAAGAGAGGGTGAGGCGGAGGGTTTAAGGCAGTGAGTTCCGGGGGTTAGGGGCGTACTGGCTACAGGCACGGCTACTGACAGTGGCGTGGAGGGAGGGATCAAGGCATATGCAGCAGGCCTGTGTGAGCTGAGAGGGAGTAGCCAGTGGCAGCTTGGCTGCCTTACCCAGAATTTCCATGTCTTGCAGCGAGCACTGCGAGTCCAGCGAGCGGGAGCTGAGCAAATTGGGTTAGACTGCAGGAGCAAGGCCCATGGGTGAGAGGCCAAGACACTGTGCGTGCACAAAGTGCCCATTGTCATGGTAACAAGATCCTCTGGTTAGGCAAACTCATAGATTGCCTCACCTGTCAAAAAGGTAACAAGTCACCACGGCGAGCAGCCTAAACCTAATCTACAACAACAACAGTGCATTTATAGTGTGCCTTTCATGTTGGAAGGACATCCCAAGGACTAATCTAGTATTGAGTGCTAGGCTAACTGTAGCCTAAATCTAGTTACCTAATAGCACCCCAGGTGAGATTGGAAACTCAGAGCAGAGATACAGCCTGGAAATGTGTGGTTTGTACAGCCTGGCCAGCACTGTATCCTTTACCACTGGTATATTAAAAAAACCTTCAAAAAAAAATAATTTGGTCACTCAATCCACGACTGTTTGTGGGACAATGCTGTGCGCAATTGGCTGCCGTGTTTCACCCACAAAAATAGTCAAATCACTTTACAGTATATCCTGTGAAGCGCTTTGAGACATCTCAAAGATGTGATAAGGTGCTATATAAATGCAAGGATTGTTAATATTTTATTGGAAGAAGCACTGCATGTGGGTACTTACACTGGCCTCTTGCCCTTGGTTCTGAGAGTGGGAGAGTGAAGGGTGTCCATTCTGTGAACAAGGAATCAGGTTGTCAGGAATCAGGGTTTGGGTTAAAATAATAATACTAATCCTTGCATTTGATATAGTGCCTTATCTCAAAGGGCTTCACAGAATGTAGTGACTAACCCCCACCACCCCGTCTTTTACATTCCTACATTATAAAAATGTCAACAATGTGGCTGTGAATTTATTACATTTTAAAATAAAGTACTGTATTTTCTTCCCTTCTTCAGCTCCACCTTTATCCTGACAAATCAAACCACCTTCCTGAACCCAGAGAGACAGTGCCTGCGGGCTCCATTATAGAGTGCCTGAGGTATTCATTATATAACCAAATTTAATTCAATATTTTTACCTCTAATTTTAAATCTTAATTTTAACCCTTAATTGTAATTTTAACTCTTAACTTTAAACAATACTTTTTTAATTTTAACCTAATTTTAGCTTAATTTCACCACAGTAATTTTGCAGGTGACCAAGTGTAAAGCCTCCGTTTCCAGAGCCTGGAGGAAATCTTTGGGATCCTCTCATGTTTAATGCCTTGGTGGCCAGTGACAGTTTGAAGCTGAGTGAATGAAACCTTCGCTTGGGATTGGAAGGGGATTCGTTCACTTGCAAACCGGTGGTTCCAGACCCTTTCTGTCAAGTTGATCACCCTATTTTAGGAATCTACATTCCCCCCATCTGATGAGTCCACACCGGGTGTAAGTGGTGGTGACAAACCATGAGAGCAGGCTGCTCGCTGGGGAGTTGGTGTTTCGCCAGGCAGTGGAGGACAGCATCATGCAGTGAGTGGAAGAGATGTGATTTTGTGATTGTTTTTCCAAAGAATTCTCCCTTTTCAAACTGCTGAATAATGGACCCTGGAAGAAGGCAAATTCAGATCAGACCATAACTGACACTACACAATGCATTTCACACAGATACAATACAAATACAATACAAATTTTGATTTATACAGCACCTTTCACACAGCAAGATACAATATAAACGACTCATAAGAGTTAGTGCTATCGACTGAGCCAAACTGATTATTGGGCAAGGAAGAGAGGAGAAGGAGTTTAAGGTTGTTGAGTTTTAATTTGGAGGGATAATAATGTGGGACGTGGTGTGTGCAAAATGGATGCTTTGTTTCCCTGCAAAGTAGTGACTGAATTTGACAAAATATTTACTTGTGAAGCACTTTGATATAATAATGTAAATTCGCTCTTTGTGACTGGACTTACTGAGGGGAACATGCAATGTTGCTGCATGTTGCTGGGTAGACAGGCAGCCAGCTTGTGTTGGTCTGCCTCCAATACGAGCTGTCAGTTATATCTGGTGTGAAGTGATCCAATTCATACTTACAGTGACAGCCTGACAGGTACACGTCAATCTCGATCTCAGCGAAATCCCGGAAAATCTGAAATATAAACCCAAACTGGAATTGGACAAGATACAAAGGGGCTCCCACACCATGGATATACTACAGACCATTCTCAAATTCTGTCTTCTATGTTGAAAACTTATCACCAAAGATTTATTTACATAGAAACTTGCCTTTTTATATGTCATACTATGTCAAAAGGTCGATCGCGATCTCTTAATATGGCCTTATCTTTCACTGGTGTCCTTTAACATGCAGACACTTTAATTGGATTCCCTTCAATCATCTTGTTAGGAATGCAGTAATCTCTAGTTGTAGCCTCATGCTTGCCATATCTAAGATTCACCTGCTGCTTACACAATAGGATTCAATTACACATTGGTTTAGATTACTCACTGATTAATTACACACTCGATTAGATGATTCAGTGTTACAGTGAACCATTGTAAGAATTTTGCCCACAAATGTACAGTCAATTTACTTTACAGGAGAAGCGCTTTGAGACGTCTAGAAGACATGAAAAGTGCTATATCAAATGCAAGGATTATTGTTATAAACAACAACAAAATTACATTTGTATAGCGCCTTTCACATCGGTAGGACGTCCCAAGGTGCTAGATAATCATGTTTCGGACCCGAGCTGCGGGTTGGGATCAGGGAGGGTGGAGGGCAGGGGGGGGAAGGAGGGTGATCGAAGGCATGGTCAAAGAGGAGGGTCTTGAAACGGGTCTTGAAGGAGGCAAGGGAGTGGGTGAGGCGGAGGGATTGCGGAATGGAGTTCCAGAGGGTGAGGGTAAAGTGGCTGAAAGCCAACCCGCCAATGGTGGGGCTGGCGAAGCGGGCGACATGAAGCAGGCCGGAGCCTGCTGAGCAAAGTGAGTTGGACGAGGGTGGTGGTGATAGGGTGATGGAGTCTTGTGTGGGAGAGGACATGGGCTGCAGAGTTCTGAATGATCTGCAGCCTATGGAGGGAGGAGTTGCGGAGGCTGACAAGCAAGGAGTTTACAAAGTCAAGCTTGGATGTTATGAATGTGTGTATAAGGGTCTTGGTGGCCTTCGGTATGAGACAGTTGCAGAGCTGGGCGATTTTGCATTGGTGGCGGTAGGCAGGGCGGATCATGGTACAGATATGGGGTAGAACGGATAGTTGAGGGTCAAACAAGTGACGAGTTGGAGAGCCTTGGTATGGCGGCTTACATTTTTGATGATTTTGATGCAGACGCTGTCCACAAAGTTGACGGGGCTGAAGTCGAGGATGAGGGAGTGGACATTGGGTTTCTGCAGGCCCAGTGACTCCAGTGTGTGTTTCTCTGGTCCACTGCCCGGCTGCTCCATGTCCATGTTCACACTGATGGAGCGGTTTTCTAATGTATCACTGATGGTGGTATGCTCTACCTGTTTTTCCTTGTTCAGGCTTTGTCCCTGAGGAGAGGAAACAAAACATAAAGAGCTCTAATAGAAAGCAATATCCCTGAAAATACCTCAGTAATAGGCCCTATCAGATTATACAATTATAATCTGATATATCATCTTTCATTTCAGGAGAATTCCTTAAAGCACTTCACATGATTTACACTACTATAAAGTATTTTTCAGGCAAATGCATTAGTGAATTTCCAAACCAGCCATGAAGTAAATGACAACAACTTTACACTTTTATAGCTCTTTTCACATCAGGTGGATGTCTCAAGGCGCTGGACAATTCAGAGTTTGCACCCAAGTGGGGTAGGTGGGGTGGGGGGGGGGGCGAATGACCAAAGGCACAGTCATAGAGAAAGGTCTTCAGAGGAAGACCTTAAGATTCACTTTGAAGAAGGCAAGGGAGGGGGCAAGTTCCTGAGACTGGGGGCAGAAAGGCTAAAGGCTGGACAATCGATGGTGGGTGGGGCAGGGGAAATGAAGCAGGCCATTGCCCACTTAGAGGAGGGAGCAGTGAAGTTGATAGGATTTGAGGAGGTCACAGAAGTAGGATGGTGTGAGATGATGGAGGGATTTAAAGTTTAGATTGAGGATCTTGAAATTGATCCACTGGGGGATGATGAGCCAGTGGAGCGGATGAAAATGGGGTGCCAGGCTCGTGAATTACCAATTTTATTAGGGGGAATATTGGCCAGGGCTCTGGGAGAAACTTCCTTCTTGCTTTGAATATTGCCACGGGATCTTTAACATCCACCTGAACAGGCAGACGGGACCTGGGTTTAATGAATCATCCAAAGGATAGCACTTCTGACAATGCAGTGCTATGTCATCCTAGACTATAATAATATAATAATAATAATCCTTGCATTTGATATAGCGCTTTTCACGTCGGGAGGACGTCCCAAAGCGCTTCACAGAACACACTGTAAAGTGAATTGACTGTATATTTGTGGGCGAATATACAGTCAAAGCCCAAGAGTACCACTCCCCACAAGCTTCTGACTTGGAGGTGAGAGTGCTGTAGGCTGAGGCAGACTGATCCTCGCTTCTGAGATGAGGGAAGAAAACTGGTGAAAGTTTAAAAAAACAATAAATCAAAAATCACTGGAAACAGCCCTGAGCAGAAGGACTGAGCAGAAGAAGCCCTGTCGGCCAGGGCCACGTGCTGACCTTTTGTTTTTTTTCGGCTTTCTTCTCTTTCTTTGCCATTTTTTTCTGCTTTTTCTCCAGTTTTAAGATTCGCTTCTTCTTTTTTGTAATCAAGACGGCGACATCGATTCCCATCTGAAATCAGATAAATAATGAGTCATGGTTAGTCAATGCTCAGGAGGCATTGTGTTCCCACCAATTGTATAAAAAAAAATTATAATAATCCTGGCATTTGATATGATGCCTTTCATGTAAGCAGGGGGTCTCAAAGTATGTCACAGTTTTTTGGGCGTCAGCTGTGTGTTTGAAACCCATACTGTGCTTAAGAGAATCCAAACCAACCAGAAATTCCTGTGTCTGGAATGCGTGCTCTCTCCTTGCGGGAAAGCACACCCTAATTACCTAAATCCGGAGAATAATAGGTGTAGGTTGATGAGAGCCAAGGCTTGAGGAGTGTGTGTGTGTGTTGTGACACTGCTGGAGTTTACCCAGTTAAAACCATACAGTTTACCATTGTGAGCCCTGTCTGGCAAGCTTCCCGCTCCTGGGACCACCCTACCCATTAGTTCTTTGTCACGCAGGGTTAATGGAAGCTGAGTGAGAAAAATCGCTGCTCTCAGTGATAACATTGAGAATTAACTGGAGACCTGCAAGATTACATGTTGAGGGGAATGGGCCAATTTACACGTTAAACAGAACGTGAAGAGGTGTCAGCGTGGCTCAGCCTGTATCATGCTTGCCTGTGGCTCAGAAGCTTGTCTCTTTTCCAATAGTGGCAATAAGGAGTAGTCCAGAAAAAGGAGGGATTAAACTAGGGGAGAAATACAGAGCAGACTAAGTCGATCTTGGAGTGCATGAGCGTAGATGCACAGAATAAGGCTGGTGAGCTATAAACTCAAGTTGCCACATGGGGTTATGATGTAGTGGCAATAACGGAGGCCTGGCTCAAACAAGGGCAGGAATGGAAACTGAATATTCCTGGTTACAATGTATTTAGTAGAGATAGGGAATGGAAAAAAAAGGGTGTGGTGATATTGATTAAAGCCACAGTTACAGCCCTGGAAAGGGACATTGTACTGGAGGGTCCAGAACTAGCATTTTTATTTGGTTAGAGTTAAGGAGCAGAAAAGGAGCAACAACAACAACAAAATTACATTTGTATGGCGCCTTTCACATTGGGAGGACGTCTTAAGGTGCTGGACAGACAGAGTTACGGATCCGAGCTGAGGGTTGGTGTAGGGGAGGGTGGAGGGCGGGGGGGGGGGGTGGAAGCAGGGAGATCGAAAGCAAGGTCGAAGAGGAGGGTCTTGAGATGGGTGGCAAAGAAAATCTTTTCTAACAAACCTGATAGTTTTTCGATGAAGTAACAGAGAGGGTGGATGAAGGTTGATATAGGTTATATGGATTTTGAAAAGCCGTTTGATAAAGTGAGACTTTTAGCAAAATACAAGCCCACATTATTAAAAGGACAGTGGCAGCATGGTTGGGGTCGGGGTCAAGGGAGCAGATGGTGTGTTTCATGCTGGATATGGTGGTAATGAGAGAGGAGGGGAGACAGGTTTGACGTTGTGGAAGGAGGGATGGGTAGTGGTTGGAGTGTGGGAGACAAAAGTAAGAAATGTAAGGGGTGCATTTAAAACTCATCCTTTCTGGGACTGAATGAACTATAATTTTTTCTATTGCTAGGCACAATGACATGCTGGATAGAATCATTTGGCGGGAAAAGTAGCAAACAGTGCGGAGGATAGTAGTAGACTGCAAGAGGTCATCGACACACTGGTAAAATGGGCAGACACGTGGGAGATGAGGTTTAATGTAGAGAAATGCAAAGTAATGCATTTTGGGAGGAAGAATGAGGAGAGGCAATATAAACTGATGGTACAATCTTAAAAGGGGTGAAGGAACAGAGAGACCTGGGGGTTCATATAAGTAAATCTTTGAAGGTGGCAGAACAGGTAGATAAAGTTGTTGATAAAAAGCATACGGGATACTTGGCTTTATAAATAGGGGCATAGAATACAAAAGTCAGGAAGTTATGATGAACCTTTATAAAACACTGGTTAGGCCTCAGCGAGAGACTGTGTTCAGTCCTGGGCACTGCACTTTAGGAAGGATGTCAAGGCATTTGAGAGGGTGCAAAGGAGACTTACCAGGATGGTACCAGGAATGAGGGACTTTATGAGGAGGGATTAGAGAAGCTAGGATTATTCTCCTTGGAGCAGAGAAGGTTAAGAGGAGACTTAATATAAGTTTCAAAATTATGAGGGGATTTGATAGGGTGAACAAGGAGAAACTATTTGCACTGGCGGGTGGGTCAGTAACCCAAGGACACCAATTTAAAAAGTTGTTAAAAGAAACAGAGGGGAGGTGAGGAGACATTGTTTTCTTGATTCTATGATTGAAGCAGGCAAATAGGACCTCAGGTCAATGTCTCATCTGAAGAATGGCACCACCATCCTGAGGGACCATTCAACCCACTTCACGTCTTACCTTTTTCTTGAGCGCTTCTTCATACAGCTCAGCATTGGCAAAGTATATGGTAGCAGTCGACTGGAAAATTTTGATTCCTGAAATTTCCTTGGCCTGGAAAAAATTTCAGATCATATTACAGTAAATCCTGTGAAGCACTTTTACACATCCTCCTGACATGAAAGGTGCTGTATCAAATGTAAGTATTTTGATTATATATTACACAGGACTGAAACCTAATGCAAATGCAGTTAAAATGTGGTGTAATTACTGCAGGATATTTTCTTAACTTTCAATCAGACCTTGGGTTCCAGACAGGCAAACAGTAGAAAGATATGTTCAGGGAGTGGCCAGGCCATTGATCCTTCGTCACCAACATTCAAAGCAACTTTTGTGCTTACCGTATCAAACTTAGTAATATCTCTGTAGATATCTGTCATCGGAACTTGTCCCAGGATGGAATAGGTGGGTCTGAAAAATAAACAAAGCAGAGAAAATGGTTCTCCAGGATGATATCTCTGAAGAGAGGCTGGGTAAAGTAGGGCTTTTTCCACTGAAACCGAGAGAATGAACAGCAGAGAATTATAATGGTGTTTAAGATATACCAAGTTTCTCCCTGTGTGCTGGTCCACAATTACCCATTTAAAATCATTCATTCACTTCACGGCAGTTTGTAGGACATTGCTGTGTGCAAATTAATTGCTGTGTGTGCCTATAAATACAGTCACTACACTTTGCAGTAAAATGCTTTGAGGGCTCCAGATGATGTGATAAGGTGCTATGTAAATTCAAAGATTATTATTATGTTTCTACACCAGGAATGGGTGGTTGTTTGTACAGTTGGCTTGCCTGGCCACCTGTGGGGCACCCCAGGGCTCCATCTTTGGCCCCTTTATTTTCCTCATCTATATGCCTCCTCTCGGCGGTGTCATCCGCAGACACGGGGTAAACTTCCACATGGATACGGATGATCATAGAATCATAGAATGTTACGGCACAGAAGGAGGCCATTCGGCCCATCGAGTCTGTGCCAGCTCTTTGACAGAGCAACTGACTTTTATTAACCCCACTCACCAGCTTTCTCCCCATAACCCTGCAAATCTACTTTGCCTCTTCCAGTTGCGACTCCAGGTCCGCCAATGTTCTACCAGCTTGTCCGGCAGACGTCAGGGCCTGGATGAGTGTAAACTTCTTGCAGCTAAATGTGGACAAGATGGAAGTCATACTCCTTGGCTCCCATCATCGTCTTCACTCTAGCGGATCTGACCTCCTAAAACTACCCAGCCTCATTTTCACACTCAGTGTGCAATCTAGGCATCCAGTTTGACCCTCAGCTCTCCTTCCTTCCCCACATCCAGTCACTGACCAGAATCGCCTTCTTCCACCTTCGTCAAATTGCCTACCTTGCCCCAAGTGCAGCTGAAACCCGCGTGCCTGGATTTTTGTGTTTGTCACCTCCCACCTGGATTCCTCAAATGCACTATTTGCCGGTCTTCCCAGCTCCACTATTCAAAAACTCCAGCTCATTCAGACCTCTGCCCCCCACATACTGACCCGGACCAAACTCCGTACCCATATTTCACCAGTTCTGGACAGGCTCCACTGGCTCCCCATCACTGAACGGATCAACTTCAAGATCCTCACACTCATTTTTCAATTCCTTCACTCCCTGGCACCTCTCCGACCTCCTCACTCCCCAATCTACCACCCAGGACCTCCGCTCGACTGGCACCAGCCTCCTACCTGTCCCTCGCATCCTCCGTTCCACCACTGGAGGTCGTGCCACTATGCCGCAAAACACTCTCCCTCAATCCCTTCGCCTTGCCCCCTCTCTCCTTTTTCAAATCCCGCCTGAAAACCTTCCTTTTCGACTGTGCTTATGGTCACCGCCCCAGCTCAGTCAGGCTGTGTCACTGTTGAGTGCTCTGAGATGCTACCCTGCATGGAGGGCACTATATAAATCCAGGTTGTTGTTGGGGTGAGGTTAGTCACGTGGTTTATATGTTATTGTAAAGTAATTCTACTCTTTACTAGGAATTGGCAAGATTGAGCAGTGGAGGCGAGGAGGGTTTGGGGGTGATGTGCACAGCCCTGGTTTATGGCTGAATGTTGTGATACTTACAGTTGTGTCTGGAAAATCACAGTAAGAAGCGCGAATCCAACGGAGGCGGCGAGTCCAATGTCCATCCCCAACAATACAGTGCTCAGCAGGGTGACCACCCAGATCATCTGAAACAACAACAGGAAAGGGCAGTGTCAGGGAGGGTGGGTGACAGTGCAGGAAAATATACAGAAAGATCCAGTAAACACAAAGACATGTGTTGGAAAAATATATTCTGGGATTAAAGAGCCCATAAGCACTACATTGGGGGTTAAAGGGCAAGGTTGGGGAGTGGTCAAAGACAAGATTGGGGTTAAAAGGGCATTTTTGGTGGCAGAAGTAGAGGCAAGTTTTACTCTGCTTCAAATCTGTTATCCATTGAACAGGGATACAGTGATTGAGAGAGGCAAGAGAAAGATTCCAGGTCACAACTGAAGATGTCCTGGTTGCTACATCAATAAAGTGACATTGGGAAGCCAACAAGGCTCTTACCAAATCCACCTTGTTTGTTTTCCAGAAATGACAGATGTCACGGAACTGTTTAAACATCCCCTGGAGGTTTATGATGATGATCGATGCAAGAACAGCCTGCACAAGGGAAAGAGAGCAGTCATTACACGGAGGCCCATTTCCCAACACCTTTTCCATTGAGAAAGAAAAAAAAACTCCTAGCAATACTTTCAGATACACCAAGGCAGAAGGACCAGAGGGCATAAGGCAGGCTTGTGAAGGGCAATTTCAGGAAAAAATATCTACCCATTAATGGGTCAATGGACAGGGTAGTTGCAGCCAGGACACTTGATTTGTTTAACAAGCAGTTTGATGCTGCAAAGACCAGATGATAGGCTGAGTATTCTGGAAGGATGAGATCAGATGGGCTGAAGGACTTTCTTTATCTGAAGCTCTGGTGATTAACCTTTGGATACAAACTAAGGTGCTGGTCGTCTCCAGCAATAATTCAAGGTTTGAGTTTCAGAGTTTGTCTCCAGTATAGTGTGTGTGTACACATATGTGGAGGGTGGGGTGCAGGGGATGACAGCTAACAGCAGACATCAAACCCATCCACATTCTCAGCTTCCTCAAGCATCCTGAGCCTCGAAGCCAAGGAAACTATCAATAGGTGCTTGTGGCTCACCAAAAGCAGATGATTGTTAAATATATAAACCTATACAGAATTGGGCACATCCATTACACTGGGTCCAAATTGGGTAAAGGGATTGACAAATATTAAAGCTAAAAGTACCTTGATGTGTCTCATATTGACCCCTTGGAATGCTGCTCAGATATTAATCACTTTGTTGTTGATAAGTTCATCAGGCTGCATAACAGCCTCTCGGAGATCAGAAATCAGATTAGCACTGAGTGAATCAGCCAGAGACCCATCCTGGGGATGGGGAATTCAGTCCTCCACATGATGGATCTACCTCAATTGTACGTGGGATAAAGCTGCCAATGGATGGAGCGACATACCTTGGGCAAAGCACTGAACAGTGATCCGATCTCCAGAATGACAACCAGGATAAGAATGCAGGAAACTACTGAAGCCAACTGTGAAGATTCCAATGAGCAAAGATTTCAGTGACATTCCCCCAAAATTATCCAGTACATCCCCAAATTAACCAGTACACCCCCCAAATTATTCTGCTCCATTATTCTCAGATGTACTATACCGTTAGTTAAAGCTGAAGAATTCTGTAGCCTTTGGGATGTCAAGGCTGTATTTACAGGTTCTTTTATGAATTGTGCAAGTTAGAACTCACATTTGGAGGCCTGCGTGACCAGTGTGGATATCTCACCTGTGTTTGCCCACCTGTGGATTCCTGAACCAGGGACCTCGACATTGAGCAACTAACCCCAAAGCATTGGAAAAATCCTCCCACAAAGTTACTCAAGCCCAGAGCAATCAACTCCTGGAACAAACAAACAAAATGGGAATGCATTAGAGAGGAGAGCACATTTATCCTGCACACAATCATACTATTGTCCTATGTTCTTGACTCTCAGGTGCTCACGCGATTGACGCAATTGTGAGTTTCCATCAAATTGGGTCCACACAGGTGTTCATCTGCTACAATACAGAACCCTATCACTCAGCCTGGACAAAGAGGGGCTCAAATCCACAACATTCTGATCCAGGGGCAGTTATACAAACTTGAGAGGATATATAATACAGTATATATAATTCTTGCATTTGTATATAGATGTCTCAAAGCGCTTCACAGGAATTTACTGTGAAGTGTTATGACTATGTATTTGTAACTGTTCTGGCATTGGTGGGGATATTACAATACTATATTTATATAGCACCTAATTTATATAGCAAAGAAAAATTGGTCACTCAATCCACGATTATGTGGGACAATGCAGAATTGGCTGCTGCATTTCGCCCACACAGTCAATCCATTTTACAATATAGTCTGTGAAGCGCTTTGAGACATCTCAATGATGTGATAAGGCGCTGTATCAAATGCAAGGATTATTTACGATATTCACATCAGGAGGGAGCATCAGAGTGGCTGTGGATAAGAGTGAGGCTCGGTGGTATTATGGATTCTGCTTCGGCCACTGATCTTAGTAAAGTATTTCATTCTTCAAGTTTGTAAAATGTCTGAAAGTGCTTCCCAAGATGTACTGTAGGAACTGTGGAGCCAATTTGCACACAGCAACATCCCACAAACATAGGACCAATGAAGTGAGTGACCAATTTTATCTGGAGGAATGTTGATCAGTGTAGGATATCCCTTTAAGAAGCAAAAGACAATTAAGAAAAATGAAATAAAAACAATAAGTACAAAGGGACACTGGGAATGGAACAAATTGGTGTGGTTATGGTTTGCTGATTGGAGTGTGTCTGCTGAGCCGGTGAAGGAGGGCCTGTTTCTTTGGTAAAAGGTCTGAGGAGGCCCCTGCCTTGAGGGTGTGGCTCTCTTTCCCAATGGGAAGATGGCAGGTCCATGGACAGTGAATGCAGTTTGGCTGTGTTTGAAGGCAGAAAATGGAGTGGTTTTCCTTCTAAAATTGTTCAGAAGGAACTGGGGTTTCATCCAGAGGAACTGAACTGTTTGAGCAAGGTGCTGGGAGAAGAATGTTTTGATATAAGCTTCATGAATGAACAGCAGGTCAAAGCGTTTTGGGAAAGATTTGATGCAAAGAAGCAGGGTAAGCCTCTGAGTGACTACACTGCGGAGATATTATCAGACCAGGAAGTGAAGGTGATCACTATAGTCCACAATGAGGGGATGAATGAGCACAATGCAGAAGTCTGGCTGAAGAGACACTATTGGGTGGTGGGACCAGTGATAAAGGTTACTGACCAGGATTCTGTTTGGAACGGGACAAGAAAGTGTTGGGTTTGTTTCCATATCTTCAGTTACTGGGGGCGGTAATACACTTGCTGAGTATGATTATTTGGGGAGCACTGAGAGGGTATATTGTATTACCAAGGAATTCCAAAGCTTTGTGAGAGGTTAGGGCATTTCGTGGCAGTATGCCCTGAGATGAGGTGCAGTATTTGTGGGCAGAACCATGAGATTTGTGGATGCCAGGCACTGAGAAAATGTAATTTGTCTGATGAGGAAGGGCACCGATATTGAGTGTGCCCGCACTCGTATGCAAACAAAGCAAGAGTGGAATTTAAGATGGGGGGAGAATGTGGAGTCCTGTAGCTCAGTGGTTAGAGCACTCGCTTTGCAAGCGAGAGACCTGAGTTCAATTCCAGGCAGAGGGCGAAACCTTGGGCAAGTTTCCTTACTCCACACAGAGCCTAATAATAATCCCTCCAAAACCAAAAACAATAATAAAAATTGGTCATTTTCAATCTACGACTGTTTATGGGACATTGCTGTGCACAATTGGCTGCCGCGTTCGCCCACAAATATACAGTCAATTCACTTTACAGTGTATTCTGTGAAGCGCTTTGGGACATCCTCCTGACGTGAAAAACGCTATATCAAATGCAAGTATTATTATTATTAACGTGGAAAGGAGGGGGAGCGAGGCTCTTGTACAACAGTGTCACTAAGAATTAGTGACATTGTTGTATAAGGACAAGGAAGAGAAAGAAAATGTAAACAACTGGAGACCCATAATGTTGTTAAACGTAGATTTGGAACATAAGAACAGGAGTAGCCATTCACTCCTCTAGCCTGTTCTGCCATTCTAGTAGATCATGGATGATCTGTACCTCAACTCCATTTATCCGTGTTGATCCATATCCCTTGATACCCTTATCCAACATAAATATATCCACCTCAGTCTATCGACCTCAGATTATAAGATCTTGGGAAAAATTCTGTGTAATAAGTTGAGGAAGGAGATGGGAACATCTTGGAAGAGATTCTGAAAGTCTGGAGTACGGCATGTCCCTTGTCATGCTCTGTTTGGAGCCCCAGCTGCAGGTTTTTAGGGAAGAGAATAGAATGGATGGGGATTTGGGAGCAAGGAAGAGATTAAGGTTCTCATCTATATGGATGATGGTGGTCATAGTGCGAAGAGACAATAGATCAGTAAGGAAGGTACTGGAGATTGAAAGGGAGTATGAGGAGGCATCAGGAGTAAGGGTGAATAAGGGGAACAGTGAGGTGTTGGTTTAAGTGTAGTGGGAAGACAAGTCCCTTATTAAAGAGAATTTCATGGTGAGTATGGAGTGGATCAAAGTTTATGGGGATTTGGTTCAGAGTAAGGCTAAAGCATAGGGAGAAATTGGATACATTTAATAATTAAAAGGAAGAAGGATGAGTGAGTGACGATGTCTGGGAGGATAGTGTTGGTGAAACCGGTGGTGTTGCGATATTGTTGTATGTTGAGAGTGGAAAATTGGGTGGTGGGGGGATAATTGGTGGAGGGGTGTTGGAGATCCTCTTGTTATTGTGGTCTAGTTATGCAAGGTCACAAAGGTGTGGGAGAAGAAAGGTTCGAAAGGGTTTTTCATGGAATGTTTCTGGTTTGGGCATGTGTGACAGTATTTCAAGTACAAGGAAAGGGACCACGCAATCCCTTTTGCATGGGAAAGGCCAAAAGAAATTCAGAGGGTGTATCAGTTCTTTAATTTTTTTTGCTAAGTGTGAAACCTAGATGTAACTGATAATTACTCACAACAATTCACAGAACCTAACTGAACATGTAATCTTGTTGCCTGGGCTGAAGTTGGTTTGTTTAGAGGGGATTTTGCTTGGGCTGGAAATCAAGTAAAATTGGTGTTGTGCGTTTAGTTGCTATTGTACCAGAAATTAAGGGTTGGGTGTAGTGTGGAATATACAGGGGTTTTATGTTGCTTGTGGTTAGGATAATATAGAGATGGCTTTGTTTTTAACTTGATGAAGGTAGAAAGTGTTGCCTTGAACTGTTTTGAAAAGTCATAATTTCGCAAATAGACACAGGGTTTGTATTATGCATTTTGTACCAATTTACTGAATAAATCACATTGACATTGCTATAAAGAAACTTACTGACACACCAGGACATCAGGAAAAACTCCCTCCTCTTTTTGAGTAGCACCATGGGATCTTAACATCCACCTGAACGGGCAGACGAGATCTCAGTTTAACGTCTCATACGAAGGACGGTGCCAGTACTGCGGTTTCAGCCTAGACTGAGTTCAAAGTCCTGACTCGTGGCTTGAACCCACAACCTTCTCATTCACAGGTCAGAGTGTGAGAGACAAAGCCAGGCTAATGTATAATGCACACAGTTTTGATGATGATTCTAAGCCCTCTGCCTCACTGGGCATTGAACTTGGAATCAAACCGAATTCTATCGTGACATTCACCTCAAACTTCAGGTGTGAAAAGGCTGAGAGGAAAACCATGGGACTTGGCGTGCTGAATCCCAAACCTGTTGCTTGAGGTATGACATAAATCACATTCACTTTCTGTTCCCGTGCTAATTCTCAATGAGATTTCCAGTGCACTGGTTGGTGATTGATAACTGGGAGCATGCACATTTCCGATCATTAGCAACCAAAATAGAAGAGCTTAGAAGAATTATCAGATCATACATGCCCATACATTCACAATACCTGTATTACCCTGATCACTATCAGGAAATATACAAAAGTGACTCTCAGTTACCTGATTGCTGTCCACTTGGTATCCGTGCTTAAGTCCAAAGATCTTCCCCAGAGAAATGGTAATGCCATATCCTACAATGGCCACAGCAAATGCATCTCCAATAATTGAGGAGGACATCTCGAACTCCGGCAGGACCGGAGCTTGCAAGCTGCACATCATAAAAGAGATGAGGTTACACCAAATCAACTGGTTATGTTGTAAAATCAGGGTATAAGGTCTAATTACCTTACTACCACACATCCGTTCCCTGACCAGGACCACTTTTTTCCATCTCCGTCACACTGCCTGCCTCTGTCAGTACCTCACAATTAATGTAGCTGAAACCCTTGTCCACGCCTTCGTCACTTCGCGGCTAGACTATTCCAATGCCCTCATCACTGGTCTCCCCAACTCCACTATACACAAAGTTCAATTAATTCAAAACTCCGCCAGCCAGATACTCACCCGCATAAAACTCTGTACCCCCATCACACCAGTCCTTGCCAGGCTCTACTGGCTTCCAATTACTGAATGGATTGATTTCAAGATCATCTCTTGTTTTCAAATCCCTTCCTGCCCTCGCACCTCCTTACCTATCCGATCTGCTTACCCTCCACTCCACCACACAATGCCTTCGCTCGACTGGCTTCGGCCTCCTGTTTGTTCCTTGTCCCCTCTGCTCCACATTCGGTGGCCATGCTTTCAGCCTCTACTCTCCAAAACGCTGGAATCTCTCTCTCCCCACTTTCAAACCCCGCCTAAAGATCTTCCATTTTGATCATGTTTATAAGGTCACCGCCCCCCTCCCTCTCCTCCTGGCTCAGTGTCAGACTCTGCCACTGTCAAGCACTCTGGGACACTACTCTGCATGAAGGGTGCTTATCTATCTGATCTGCCAAGTAGTTTTTATTGAATAGTGGGGGGAGGGGTACTTTGGAATGATGTGATGAAATGGGATGAATTTTAATGCTAAAAGATTATTATCACTTTAAGATATATAATGTATTTATATTATAGAAAATATATGTTAACTTAAGTTTTGTTGTTAAATGTAGATTCAGAGTATAACAGGAGTAGTTTTCTCTCACTACTTTCCCAACCATTTATCACAGGATGTCCAATAAACAAAATTCTGGTCCTTACATTTGCTTTTCATACCAGGAAGATGTCCTCAAAGCACTTCACAGCAATATCCCACAAACAGCTACGGAATGAATGACCATTTTGGAAGATTTATGGCCAGGACACTGGTAGAAACTTCTCTTTTCAAATAGTGCCATGGGATTTTAATGCCCACTTGAACAGGCACAGCCAGGACATCTCATCCAAAGAACAGCACCTCCAACAATGCAGCACACCCCAAGCACTGCATTGGAATGTCAGCCTGGACAATATGAGTTCAAAGTCCTGAGCTTGAGCCCACAACCTTCTGACTCAGAAGAGAGAGTATTACCAACTGGGCAAGGCTAACATGTAACACACACAGTGTGAGAAGTAAACTAATGAGATTAGGTTGATATTCTCCTTGAAGAAGATATATGAAAATTAACTCACCCTTTTGGAATCGATCCCACAACATCCACTCCATATTTTCCAGTTAGGTTACAATTTGCTGAAACCACTGTTGCGATCACCACCTATTTAGAGGTGATCAGAAGACATGGGTAATGTTGGGTGCATTTGAACCCTGGTATCTACCCATTTTGCCCACAAAATATTCAGTCAATTCACTTTACAGTATATTCTGAGATGTTTAGAAGATGTGAAAAGCGCTGTATCAAATGCAAGGATTATTATTATTACTATATTCTGTGAAGCGCTTTGAGATAGCTCGAAGATGTGATAAGGCACTATATTAAATGCAAGAATTATTATTATTATAAAGTCTTTGGAAGGAGGTGTGACACCATTGTGGATTAAATAGTTTCCCACTTACAATGAAAGAAGAGTCAGTGACAGAGTTCTCCAGAGATTGGTAGAGACCATAGAAAGGTGCAGGAGCACAAAAAACTCCACAGTCTAATATAGCCATCCTATTTTCAAATCCCATTGCTCCCAATTTCATTTAACTCCACTCCAACAAAAATCTAACCAATTCCCTCTCGACACTGGTCCACAATATCTGCCTTCCTGGGCAAACTCCCTTCTCTTTACAAACAGTGCTATGGGATCTGCATGAACAGGCTGACAGCAAAATGTTGGCACCTCCATCAATGCAATGATCTCCCAGCTGGAGTACCAATGATTCTTGAATGCTTGATTCTGCAACCTTCTGATTCATTTTCATCAAACATCATATTCTTCCATAAGATTCCCTCTTACACATTTTTGTTTTTGGGATGAAGCATAATAATAATAATCCTTACATTTGATATAGCGTCTTAACATGTCTTCGAGATGTCTCAAAGCACTTCATAGAATATATTGTAAAGTGAATTGATTGTATATTTTGTGGGTGAAACGCGTCAGCCAATTGCACACAGCACAAACAGTCATGGATTGAGAATCTTTGCTGATGTGAGGCGCAGAAGTGAGGCGAGACTGTGGAGGAATTTGAAAGTAACAATGAGGATCTTGGACTCGATCGGCTAGGGAATGGGGAGAAGTGGAGCTAAGCAACCACTTTGGAGAATTGCTGGCTGGGTCACAGGAAAAAACTCACTTCTCTTTTTGAGTTGTGGCATGGGATCCTTAATGTCCACCTGAACAGGGACAGATGATGCCTCGGTTTAACATCTCATCCAAAGGACTGCACTAGAATGTCAGGTTAGACTGTGAACTCAAGTGGGGCTTTAACCCACAACCTTCTCAACCTTAATCAGTTAGAAACCTATTGTTCTTACCTCAAGGAGTTCTATAGGAATTGGCAATGGCGATTTCGATTTGATGTAATCATTTAGCAGTTTCAATGCATACAGAGTGACCATGACGATAATACTGATAACCAAAGTAGCAATGTTCGTCAATGGCAGTGCTTTGCAAATGTCAATCGCACTCTGTGAGAGGACACAAGATGAAATGTGAACAGTCAAGACAACTGAAGTCTTTGACAATAAAACCATTTTGTCTTAAAATTGAAGATCACACAGAATATAATACAATTTTACATTTATAAAGTGCCTTTCATGTCGGGAGAATGTCTCAAAGCTCTTAATTGTGGAAAATTCTTAAATTTATTTGGAAGCGGGTTCTTTTTAATTGTGCAAAATTGGCTTCCACGAAGACCTTTCTCTTTCACTGTGCCTTCGGTTATCCTCCCACTCCCACCCTCCTGGCCCTCGAGTCCTCTTGATTCCAACCACCAGCTCAGGTTCAAACCCTCCACTGTCCAGCGTCTTGGGATGTCCTCCTGACATGAAAGGCACTGTATAAATGCAATTTGTTGTTGAATTAAGAATTTTTCACAGTTCAGCACTATATTAAGTGTTAAGGCAATCTTCTTAAGCCTGAGCCCATGAGATGTTTGAGGCTACAGCAAGCCAGATTTTCATTAACAGTTTTTGAGGGAGTTTTCTCAGTGATTCCTGCCCTTTGACAGCTTAAACATTGTCTGCTAATAAAATATCCCACGGACACAGCTTGACTTGAGATTCCAGTTGGCATCTTACGTCAGGAAACTGCCTGGGTTGAGTTGTTGTGTTGAGGTAACTCACATGCCTATGTCTATGGAAGAAACATGGATCAAGTGCTATTCTCTTGTTCTAACCCTTCTTATGTTTACAGTAGAGAAATTTATATTCCCCTTATTGTGGATATAAAACTAATGGGATTAATGAGTTGGTGTTCTCTCTGCTTCTCCAATTGTGAGTGTCTCTCTTTCTCTCTAACTCTCTAATACCCAGGGAGATTTCTCCACTGTTGGTTCATTGTTAGGTGTCATTCTGCTACACAGAAGCAGCGTGTATTGTACTCTATAGGGCAGTTACAGTATAAGGATTATACAGTGAATGCATAAGTTCTAAGTGGGCCCCTGTGGTAGACTAACCAGAGTACTTCACTGCCAGATTTTGTGATAGACCAAGTGGTGAGGAAGACATCCTAAAGTGTGAAGGGCATTGTTAGGACAGACACCAGGAAGTATTTATTTGGATAGAACTGGGGAATGAATGGCTGATGTCAGGACACTGAACTCATTTTAGGAAGAGCTTGATGCTATGAGGCTGACACTGAAAATCTGAGATCAAATATCACACGACTTTCTCTTGTGACCCCACTGATTGGACAGAGTGTCAGTTGTGTGAACAGGGTTATTAAGGTGGTATTCGAGAGGATCAATGGACTAAACAGTGAATTACACAGAGCGAATTTGCATGAGAGTGAGCAACTGCCAAACGGATATTTACTTAACCGAATGCGTGTCTTCACTCTGCATTGTGCAATACAATACAATTTACATTTATACAGTTTTGGGACGATATCCCAAGTGCTTCACAATGTTTGATGGGCACCCGACTTGGGGGTGGGAGCTGATTGAGTGTATGGTGGGTGGTGGAAAATACCTCGGAAATCTAATGAAAATTAACACGTTCTAGTCAGTGGATGCTGGCATGCAGAACTCCATCAGCAGATTGCAGTTCAGCACCTCTGTGCAGGGCACACTCATAGGCTACAGAAAGGGAGCTTGTTAATGACCCTATTAGTATAAGGCCTGAAAAAGAATGAGGGTCTCCCACCTTGCTCCGCCTCAGAGGCACGCTTCTGAGCATGCGCAAAACCTTAAATAATAATAATAATCCTTGCATTTGATATAGCACTTCATCCTGTCAATGAGACTTTGCAGAGTGCTTCACAGGATATACTGGAAAGTGGATTGACTGTATTTTGTGTGTGAAACGCAGCAGCCAGTTATGCATAGCAGTGTCCCACAAACACTGCTGTGCACAAGTGAGTGACCAATTTTATTTGGGGGATTGTTGGCCAGGACACCAGCTCAACCACCATAAGAGGATGTTCCAGATTCTACTAATATCCCCCTAGACACAGGCTTAATGTACACTAAGACCTGCCCTTTACTTACATAGATGAGGGATAAGGGCCCGTTGTATCTGGGGATGTTGATACCAAACACGTACTTCAGCTGTGAGATCAGCACGTGGATGGCAGCCGCGGTGGTGTAACCTCGCACCAGCGGGTCTGACAGATACGTGACCACAAACCCAAACTTTATCAGCCCAAGCACGATCTGTAGGACGGCAAAGAGACACAAGCAAGGTCAGTTTATCACTGCCAGGTACTTTATTATATCTGATTGCTGCTCTGAGAGATGTGGAGGCACTGAGGGCTGAGGCAATTAGAGAGGGAGGGAGAGAGAAAGGAAAAGAACTTCATATAAACATCTTAAACAGTTTCTCAGATAATCACCATCAAGTATAGTGACTGTTCGTTTTAGGCAAACGCAGCACCATTTGCGTCAGCCACTAATTGCCACCATGTCAATGGTCAATTAAAGGATTGTTGCCCCAAACACAGGGAGAAGCTCCCTTCTCTTTTCCAATAGTGTCTTGGCATCTTTAGGGTTCAGACTTTGATTTAACATCTCATTTGAAGGCCGGCACCTCTAACAATGAGCTCCCTGAGTACCGCACCAGAGTGTCAGGCTAGATTGCGTTTCAGTTACCTTGAGACTTTGTTTTGGTCCACTGCATGTCTGACACATGCAAAACTCATCACCATGCTTAACAATATCCAAACCAAACTGAGAATTCCATGCATCCCACCTACACATGAAAATTCCAGAGATAGATTGTTGGAATGCGCACTCTCTCCCTAGGTATCCTAGGCATCCTGCTTACCTAATTCCGGAAAACATTAGGCGGAGATTGGCTTGAGAATCTTAGCTCAGAGCAAACCTATTGGACAGTGGAGGAGCGGGTGGGGGCAGGTGGACAAGTTGTATGGTATATAATAGGAAAATATCAGGGTTTCCAGAATCCCTCTGACTCAGAGATGACAGTGCCACCAGCCAAGCCTAGCTGACACCCAGGATCTGACCTAATATACTGGTGAAACATTCTCAATGGAATGAATGGCCTCCTCTCTGTCTATAGTTCGGCTGTCACACACTCTTTTCATTTGCTTTCCAAAAGTAGTGCCCTCTTCTGCCCTTTTCTGGACAATGAATGCCCAGTACACACCTGATAAACTCCACTGAAGAAGGTAAGCAAGGTAGCCACTTTGACCCTCATCAAGTCTCTTGCCGCAATATCAATGACTAGTGTTGCATTTGTAGAATTGTCAGAGGAGATTACAAAGTCACCATCCGGTGCCAGCCTCTCAGTCACGGTGCCAATCATTACACTCAGTACTGCAAAGGTACCTAATGAAGAGACAGTAGGAAGAAGTTACATTCAGATCAACAACTTGCTTGCACTTATACAGCAGCTTCATGCAGAACAGCGTTTCAGAGCACCACACAGTGGCAGTGGCAGTGACATACCGAGCAAGGGAGAAGGGTCAGGGAGAGAGGACCAAAGGCACAGTCAAAGAGGTAGATCTTCAAGTGAGATTTAAAGATGAAGGGTGCGGGGGGGGGGGGCTGGGGGGGTGAGGTGGTAGGATTGAGGCAGGGAGTTCCAGAGTTAAGGCATGGGCAAGGATCGTGGCGCGGAGGGGTCAGGGCAGTGCGCAGCAGGCTGTGTGAAGAGTGTGGTGAATGGAATATAGCAATGCAACAGATCCTGGGTTACTCACCCACAAAATATAGAGTTAATTCACTTTACAGTATATTCTGTGAAGTGCTTTGAGACATCTCGAACAAATGATAAGGCGTTATATCAAATGTAAGGATTATTATTACTCTTTCTCTTAGTGACGTGACCTTAAAATTAAAGCAAATCTGAGAGGATTCTCTGAGAATAATAATCTTGATCGCTCAGCCATGGAAAGGGGGATGAGAAATGGATGGAGGGATTTAGAAGATGGATAAATCACAAGATCTGTCGGGATGAAGAAGGTTCTTTGGCTAGCATGATTTCATCTCTCCAGAACACCCACCCTATCATCCCCCATCGCAGAATCGAACTGTGTTTTAAATGAGTCCAGGTATCCTGGCTTCAACCACCCTTCCCGGCAACCCTGTTCCTATCAGATCAAATGCAAGGATTATTATTATTAATTCCCCTCTGAGTAAAGAAAATCTTCCTGGTGTCTGTCCTGAAATTGTTCATCACAACTCTAAACATGTGTCCTCTTGTTCTTCTGTTTTTGGTGCATCCAAAAGTATTGATCTAGGTTTACTTTTTCAATCCCATTTAAAATGTTTATACACCTCTATGATTTTCCCTCTGCATTGCCTTCTCTCAAGACTGAAAAAGCCTAGCTCCGCTAATCATTGCTCATAGCCCAAGATAAGTCAACCCTGTTTTAAGCACAGGAGCCAGCCAGCAGTGGGTTTGCGCAGTGAATGGGATTCCATACTCCATCTGTGCTATAGATAAATCTATTGAAGCACATTATAAAAGGTTTGAAATGTCACTGTGATTTTTTGGATGCTGTGCCTTGTCCTAATGCTTGTGCTGATTCTCAGAGGCAAACATACAGTATTCTGTGGTGCACCAGGATATCAGTCTACCGAGCAGCCCAAGGGGCATGAGCTTGCTGCTGCAGGTACAATTTACGTTGATATAACACTGTTCATATTGAGAGGACGTCTCAGAGCACTTAAAGGGATATTCAAGGGTGGGGGGAGAGGGGGTGGGAGGGAGAAATGGCACAAGGCACTAAAGGATACAGTAGAAGTAGAATCTTACCTATTGAGACATGCCTGGATGTCCCGAATGTAAAGTAAATCAGCACTGGATAGAATGCTGTGTAGAGTCCGAATGCAGGCGGGACCCCAGCAAGGAGAGCGTATGCCATACCTGCAAACAAATCCCAAGAGATTGGCATGGATACTGCCATATCATAACAGGTTCTCATTGAAAATGCTACTCAGCCTCAACCCCACTCCTGTTCAATCTACATTTAGCCAGCTCCCCGAACAACCTCAAAAAGGCCTTGTTAGGGACCACCGACCCATCCTGCACAAACCTAGGTCACAGAGGCTCATGAGGAGGTGAGACAGCATGACAAGCCTTTCCGACCACTTTTTAAAATAGTGGCAGATCTTTTAATCCCCTTTTCCCCATATCCCTTAACACTCATATTTTCTAGGTATCTCTCCATCTAATGGTCGGATGATTGTGCGAGACACTTTAAGCAGACAGTATGTATCTTCCGGTTCGCTGCTGACTTCAGATCAGATTTCCTTTGGGCTCTTGACTTGAATTGGTGAACAGAAAGTGATCAACAGTAATAACATTCACATTCACCAACTCTATAATAGGATTCTTCACTATACAGATTAGCACACATTTACCTCCCCCACCCCCTAACCCCCCCCCCCCCCCCCCCCCCGCCCCCAAACCCACGTAACAGTAAAAGAACCAAACATCATCTTCTGGTTGAGATGATACATAAAGCCCTTACTCTGAGGCAACTGCATGATCCCAACGCTGAGACCAGAGATGATGTCATTCAACAGCCAGTCTTTGTAAGGATACTTGGGAATCCATACGAGGATCGGGATGAATCTGAACAGCAAGGATTTTGCTTTGGATTGCGAACATCTGGAGGAGGAAAGAAAGTTCTGTTTAGGTGCAGTTTGAGCAGATGTTGGGGATAAAGGTTCAATGCAGAATATCTGGATTTGCAGACAGTTTGTATCCAGAGGATACATACTATCTGCTTAAAGTGTCTCGCACAATCAATTTAATAGGAGGAGTCCCGTAGCGTAGTTGTTAGCACCTTCGACTCACAAGTGAGAGGACCCAGGTTCGATTCCCAGGTGGGGCAACAACTTATGCAAATTTCCTTACTCATAAGCCTCTGGTTATCTAGCAGTAAACAGGATCTTAGTCAATTGTTGGATCGCTTTCCGGGGGTAATAATCCTTTCAAAAAAACATTTGGTCAATGAATCCATGACTCTTTGTGGGACACTGCTGTGCGCAAATGGCTCTCGCATTTTGCACACAAAATACCCAATCAGTTCACTTTACAATATACACTGTGAAGCGCTTTGAGATGCCTCAGCGACATAATACGTGACTATGTCAAATGCAAGGATTATTATTATTGCCAAGAGCAACTTTAACTGCCATGTAGATTGTACGTCCCAGAAAACTCGCCTCCAACATCTGTATGTAGATTCCCTATGGGTCGGGGAACCTTGTACATGCTGTTCGTACATGACATTTTCAAGCCCCAATGTCAGTCAAGACAGACAAAAGATTTCTTTAAGCCTTGAATAATTAACTCACTGAAATGACTTTCAAATCTCTTGCAAGCAAAGAGGAAAACAACAACAACAAAATTACATTTGTAAAGCACCTTTCACATCAGGAGGACGTCCCAAGGTGCTGAACAGTCGGGGATCAGGATCCGCGTGTGGGAGCGCAGGGTTGGGATGAGGGAGGTCAGAGAGGTAGGAAGGTAGCTGAAGGCATCGACAAAAAGGAGCGTCTTGATTTGTGCCTTGAAAGAGGCAAAATAGGGAGCAAGGCGAAGGGTTTGTAAGATGGAGTTTCAAAGGGTGGGGGCTGTGAGCAGCATGGAAACCCGATTGGACGGGCTCTTGAAGAGAGTGGTAGGAGAGGAAGGAGCGAAGCAACAGCTCTTTCAAGGACCTTGGAAAGAAAAGGGAGGTTGGAGATGGGCGAATAGTTAGAAAACAGGGATGGGTCCAGGGAAGGTTTTTTCAGGATGGGAGCTGTTTTTGTGGGGTTGGGAACAGTGTCAGATGATAGGGAGAGATTGATGGTGTCGGAGAGTAGAGGGGCGAGGAGGTGAAGCTGGGAGGTAAGGAGATGGGTGGGGTTCAAGGGAGCAGATGATGTGTTTTGTGGTGGATATGGTGGTAATGAGAGAGGAGGGGAGACAGGTTTGAAGTTGTGGAGGGAGGGATGGGTAGTGGTCGGAGTGTGGGAGGGGAGATGTGGAGGGAGTGGGGATTGGGATGGCGGAGGCAGCTGAACGGATCTCTTTGATGGTCCAAAGGAGCTCAGGAAATTTTACTTTTTGATGAAGGTAGTGCAGTTGATGTAGTTTATGTGGATTTTCAAAAGGCGTTTGATAAAAGTGCCACATTAGAGACTTGTAAGCAAAATAGAAGCCCACGGTATTAAAGGGACAGTGGCAGCGGATACAGAACAGACTGGGAGACAGAAAGCAGAGAGTGATGGTGAAGGGTTGTTTTTCTGACTGTGTGCAGGAAGTCTGCAGTGGTGTCCCCCAGGGATCGGTGTTGGGATCACTGCTATTTTTGATCTACTAAGCTAGGAAAAGTAATGAACAGTGAGGAGGACAGTAGCAGACTGCAGGAGGACATAGACAGACTGGTAAAATGGGCAGACAGGGGGCAGATGAAGTTTAATGTGAAGAAATGCAAAGTGATGCATTTTGGGAGGAAGAATGAGGAGAGACAATATAAGTTGATGGTACAATCTTAAAGGGGTGAAGGAACAGAGATGCCTGGGGGTTAAAGCTGTTAAAAAAGCATATGAGATACTAGGCTTTATGAATATTGGCATAGAATACAAAAGTCAGGAAGTTATGATAATCATATAATAATAATAATCCTTGAATTTGATATAGCACTTTGCACATCTTCTAGACATCACAAAGCGCTTCACAGAATATACTGTAAACTGAATTGATTGCATTTTTTGTGGGTGAAATGCAGCAGCCAATTGCACACAGCAGTGTCCCACAAACAGTAGTGGATTGAAGTGACCAAATTATTATTGATTTTTTTCTTGAGGGATTATTATCAGGCATGTGGAGTAAGTAAACTTGCCCAAGGTTTCGCCCTGCTGGGAATCAAACCCAGGTCTCTCGCTTGTGAGGCGAGTGCTCTAACCACTGAGCTACAGGACTCCACATCTTGTTGTTAAACAACATTAACAACATGATGAACTGTTATAAAACACTGGTTAGGCTTCAGTTAGAGACTGTGTTCAGTTCTGGGCACCACACTTTAGGAAGGATGTTAAGGCATTGGAGAGGGTGCAAAGGAGATTTACCAGGATGGCACCAGGAATAAGGGACTTCAGTTATCAGGAGAGGTGAGAGAATCTAGGATTAAACTCCTTGGAACAGAGAAGGTTAAGAGGAGACTTAATAGAAGTTTTCAAAATTACGAGGGGATTCGATACAGTGAACAAAGAGAAACTATTTCCACTGGTGGGTGGGTTGGTAATCTGAGGGCGCTGATTTAAAATAGTTGTAAAAAGAAGCAGAGGGGAGATGAGAATTTTTTTCACAAAGCGAGTTGTTTATTATTTAAACAGCTTGCCAAGGAGGAAACTGTAGGTGTTTAGGATATTCGCTGTCCCTAACCTCCTCCCAACAGCGTGAGATAGCAAAAGCACACTCTGGCAACACTGCCCAAGCAGAGTTGTTGATGCCAGGAGTCACCCTATGCTGGGGGCAAGTCTCGCTGCAGAACTGCGTACAGTCTGTCACTGTAACAGACAGAGAGTTCCACACTCTCATTCCATGTGAAGTAGATCCTCCTGAACCTCATTCACTTCATAGCTGTTCGTGGGACATTGCTGTGCGCAAATTGGCCTCTGCATTCGCTTACAGATGCATAGTCACTACAGTATATCCTATGAAGCGTTTTGAGACATCTTCACAACATGATAAGGTGCTAAAGCAAATACAAGGATTAATATTAATAATTATTAATAATTATGAACACATCTAATGGTAGTCTGATGGGTCATATTTTAAAAAAAAATATTGCAGATGCTGGAAATTGTTTTGACTCCCTGGTTCTTTCCTCAATCACCACCAACAATTGCTCTCCTCCCCCCGGCACCTTCCCATGCCGGCGCAGGAGATGCAATTCCTGCCCTTTCACCTCCTCCCATACCACTGTTCAGGACCCCACACACATTTTTCAAGTGAGACCACGATTTACATGTATTACCACCAATGTAGTTTACTGCATTCGGTGCTCATGATGTGGTCTCCTCCACATTGGGGAGACAAAATTATTATTATTATTAGGTCTCTCTGGTCTGCCTATTTTGTTGCAATCTCCCCTCATCCCTGTGTTTTCCATTACTAACACCTCTATTCCCCTGTTTTGTTGCAACCCCCCCCTTTGTTTTGCATCATTAACACCTCTTTACTCCATCATCCCCTGTCCTCTACCCCATTTTCTCCTTTGTTTTCCTTGCCCTGCCTCTCCCCTCTCTTAGCCCTTAAAAGCCTCTCCCTCCCAACATGCTCTGAAGAAACGTCATGGATCTGAAACGTTGACTCACTATCCTTTATCCTTAGATGCTGCCTGACCTGCTGAGTGTTCCCAGCGACTTCTGTTTTTGGATCATGTTGTAAGGTCCTCTTAGAAAGCCTGCGGTGGTACGAAGCATATTGGTGGGAGAAAGGGTAAAGGAATGAGTAGAAGTATTAAAATCGGCAAAGCAGAAATGCTGAGACACAGAATGAAGGGTTAAAGATTATGCTACACTCAAGAATTGTTCGTCAGGGTTAATCACTAACTTCTTCCAGGTGGCATCGTATCTTAGAGAATCACAGAATCATAGAATCGTACAGCACAGAAAGAGGCCATTCAGCCCATCGTGTCTGCGCCGGCTCCGAAAAGAGCAATCCAACTCAATCCCTTGGGTCCGCTCCCCGTAGCCCTGCAATCTTGTCCTCTCCAAATACCCATCTACTTCTCTCTTAAAAGTTATTATTGAATCAGCTTCAACGACCATTTCAGGTAATGCATTCCAGATCCGTATGTTTTTTTTAAAAATGTCTATAATCTTCCAAAAGTCTGTGGATACTGGAAAAGTTCCCATCGATTGGAAGATTGCAAACGTAACTCCACTATTTAAGAAAGGTAGGAGAGAAAATAGGGAAAACTATAGACCAGTTAGTTTGACGTCAGTTGTAGGGAAAATTCTTGAGTCCTTAATAAAAGATGTAGTTATGGGATACCTGGAAGACCATAAAAAGATTAGGCAGAGTCAACATGGCTTTACAAAAGGGAAGTCATGCTTAACTAATCTTTTAGAATTTTTTGAGGATGTATCCAGCAGGTTGGATAAAGGGGAACCAGTAGATGTGGTATATTTGGATTTTAGGAAGGCCATTTGACAAGGTGCCACACAAAAGGCTGTTACTCAAGATCAAGGCCCACGGGATTAATGGGAAAATATTAACATGGATAGAAGAGTGGCTATCGGGTAGAAAGCAGAGAGTAGTGATAAACGGATCATTCTCGAATTGGCAGGAGATGTAACTAGTGGAGTGCCACAAGGATCAGTGCTTGGGCCTCAGCTATTTACCATTTACATCAATGATCTGGACGAGGACATTGAATGTAATGTGTCTAAATTCGCGGATGATACTAAACTAGGTAGCAGAGTGAGCTCTCAGGATGATGCAAAAAGATTGCAACAAGATATAGATAGGGTAGGGGAGTGGGCAAGTAGGTGGCAGATGGAATTCAATGTTAGCAAGTGTGAAATTATTCACCTTGGTAGCAAGAATAAAAGAACAGATTATTTTCTGGAAGGGGAGAAGTTAGATAGTGTTAGTATTCAAAGGGA